AAATTCTATCTCCATTCATATCTGAGATCTTTTTATGTTTTTTTTTGAATATGAGTCATGATGTTTTTGGGGATTCAATGGGGATATATATATTGTTTACCAAGTATCCAACTTTTTTGGTCTGTCTCAAAATGGGGCTGGGAATCCAATGAGCGGGGACTTCGTCGTGTCGGGGGAAACAGATCCGCCTTGGTTGTGGCTGAGAGACCCGGAAACATGGTGGTACGGTTTTCGTTTTTTCCGTGATTTTCCACAGATCTGATTTGTTGGAAACGGATCAGTCCCAAAAAAAATTGTTTGGAGCACAAGCTGCAAAGTCGGATATGGGGGTAGACCAAGATGGATCATTGGCCATTGGATCCATTGGTCTTGGCTTCACAGTCAGATTTATATAGCAGATAGCTGGATGTTGTGGCGGCTAGTGAATCCTTGACATGGGCAGGTTGGGGCCACCATGGCACCATGGCACCATGAGCATTGAGGAACACCATCGGCTAGCGCCGATGTTGCAGATGAAGTTCAACCCAGAATTTTTAAAACATCAGAAAAAAATCAGAACACATAAACATCTATAAACATCAATCTTTTAGGGTTTTCAACCAAAATTTTCAACCTTTCTCCTTTAAACATCAATCTATCCTCAAGCCTAGTGGCTGTTCCTCGCCCGCTTCGGCTTCAGCGGCTCTGAGCCACCGATTTCTACCAGGTGTCTCCTGGCCGTGACCAGCTGAGATTTCGACACTTCAAGTTCCGGCAGTTTGTCGACAGTTCAAACTGGGCAGTTCCATCCCTTTTTTTACACATCGGGAGCAGATTTCTGGGTCGAAACTACATGGAGTTTCCGCACGACATCGAACATCTGGACCATTGGGGCGTGAAGAGCCGGTTTGTTTTTTTTCTGGGCCGCGAGATTCGGAGCTGATTTTTACTTCAATTTGCCACGGCTGTGACAGTTCTCCGTGAGTGCCTTGGTGGCTGCCTGGTCGTGATTGGGATAAACATGGAGCTTTGATGGCGATAAAAATAGGGTAAAATCCCATCGAAAAAACGGGTGATTCTTCTTGGATATCCAAGAAGAATCACCATCCCCAATTGGGGTTTATGATTTATAAAGTATCCATGTGGGATGTGAATTTTCACCCCATGACTGATGTTGGTTTCGGGGATACCTGAAAATGGGATATCACCAGCATTTCGATCCATTTCGGGCATTTTTTTTTGGGAGATATCATGACCAAATGCCAGAGATATCAACGTTTCGGTGAAACCCGTTGGAAATGGTAAATGGGTTCCTTGGGATATTTGATGCGGGAACATCTGATATTAGGGCTACCCTCTGGTAAACGTTTACATAGCGAACTGGAAAATCACCATTTTTAATGGGAAAATCAATTATAAATGGGCCATTTTCAATAGCTATGTTAAATTACCAGAGGGTATCTCAGGTCATGTTGGTTGGTTCGTTTTTGCATAAGTGGATATTAGGGCCGAGAAAACTCAGAAATTCACCGGCAGAACATTGGATTTGAAGCAGAAATCATATTAAAGTCGTACAAATTACAGTCAGACTAAGACCCAAATGCTAAATGGGGACAATGATACTTTCGGCCCTGGGTCGAAATGGAAAATTCTATGGTGTCGATGGCCGTCACCTTGGATATGAAGCACATCACCAAAGTACCGAAATGTCTTGGAATCTCCGACTCCGCATCTGTTCGCAAAAACACATTTTGTTCTTTGAATATGACTTCCGCGATTCCTATCCCTACCTTCGATTGCCCTACTTCATTCTACTTCGAAATGGCTAAAACATTACAGTAGGTCTGAATTGCCCCTTGCCGTATGAACAGACAATTCTTACCTGTCAGAGTCAAAGGCCCAAATATTGAATGATACGGTAGCCCTCAGAGTTATACCATGCATGTAGTTGAAGAGAGTGGCATGCCACTCATACCCACCTGAAATGCAAAATATAGAACTGCTAGAAAACATTTTGCACTGGAATCACTGGAAATAACAGTTATAGGGATAGCCCTGAACCATTACAAACGAAGCTGCAACATACTACAACCCCAAGTAAGTGGGTTGCCTGAAATTTTGCAGCCAACGTGGCAGTGGTCACCAATCCCCAATTAATTGCCTTTTATTTATAGCCTAGTAGCCACTTAATAAAGAGTGTTTTGGTTCCCACAATCCAAAAAAGGGATTTCCCAGGCAGTCATATTTGATAGTATCACCCCAATTGAGTGAAGAAAACGCCGGAAAAGCCTGCTGTACTCAGGACCCATGTCGCAGGCTGTGGTGGTCCGAAACACATTCCTGGAGGACGGGGGATCCGTTGGGTTTGGAGCCGTTGTTTGAACGTGGGATGTGATAGACGCATATTGAAAAATGCATTCTATATCTTCGAACGAAGTATCGCGCACCACCTACTAAACACATTATTTACATATATACAGTATATATATACACATACACATACATACTTATATGCACCATGATGTTGTATATCCATCCCCAAATGCTCGATTTGAGAACAAGCAAATGGAGATGGGTACCGAGATATCCACAGCGTGTCGAGATGCCACGATCGCAGGTGGGAGGTGAAGAATCACATGTGCTTGACAACTTCAGACGTCAGGTCTCTGAACCTGTGCGGGTGGCCCAGGAAAAATGGGATGGACCATGATTTTTTTGGATACCAAGGCAGGGGTTGAGTCAGCAAACTATGGAGGTTTGAACAAGAACATCGTTTTTTTCTTTGCATTTATACGTATATGTATATATATACACGTATATATAATTATATGATATATGATATATATAATTATATAATATATGATATATATATATATACGTATATATATATATAATTATATGTGTATATATATATGATAATATATATATATCCAAAGAACAGAAACCATGGTGGAACGTTGTGGATTCATTTCGAGGTCCTAGAAATCTGGGGAGGGGCCTGGGGGGATTGCGATTCCAGGGACCTAAAAGACAAACTTTAAGCAGCCAAATGTGGCTTCAACCCTGCAACATGGGATTGAAACTAGGTCATACTAAGAGTTGCGGGGCAAAAACATCTTGCAAATAAACACTCAATTCGTACTGAGGTTTGTCAGAATCAATACTTATCAACCCATCCCATCGAGTAAGATTTGCTGGGCATCATCCAGCGACTGGTGCGCCCATGATTTGGATCATAATCCAATTTCTCAAATTTCAAAGCCATATGTATGAAAACGATTTAAAAGGAACAGACTTCATTGGAAAGTCTATCTGTTAGGTTAGTTCCAACACACCGATTTTTATTTGGGTTTGTCTGAAAATAGGGTATATTCCCAATTATAGCCATTTAATAGGGATAATGATCATTAACCATTGGGTTTAGGGGTACACTATTTTCAGACAAACCCATTTTTAAACGCCAATTTCTGTTTTGGGCCAGTTGGATCACAACCTCGGTTGGTTCCCTGGTTCAGTGTTGGTTGGAGCTCCCCGAGGTGAAGATGTTTTCAAGCCTACCAGAACCAGACCAGGGCGAGGAACTCGTTGCTGGTACCGCATACTGTTCCAGAATTCTACAATGTGAGGCCCCCCAGTGATGTTAGTTGGTTTAGATTCGCCCCAGTAACTATAGTTGTAAGTACCATAAACCATAGTTATTGGAGTTATTTGCACCAACTTAGCTATCTTGGGGGCCTCACATTGTAGCCAATCAATGGGACAGATCAAAACTAATAAATGGGGACACCATGGGATAATCGGATAACCAACATGACAAAAACCATGGGAACGATCGCAGGAAACCGATGAGGACTTTGGGCCCAAAGCCGTCAGTGGTCTGCGTGCTGTATGGGCGCCAAGAATTTCAGGGTCCAGTGGCTGGCTGCCCAAGATATGGATCTCCCGAGTTCTGTGACTTGACATCAGACCATGTTTTCAGACTGATTCATATGCATTTTCATGAATTTACCATCTGGTAAACATACAAAAAGCTATTTTTCCAATGGCCCAGTCGAAAATAGTGGATTTACCCAGCTTTTTGCATGGTGATTTCCAGTTTCTGGACGGGGATGGGATGATCCCCAGCAGAGATCCTGACGACATCGGGATCCAAATCAGTGGCTTTCACCGTTGAAATGACAGTTATTTTAAGCAAAAAGCAACCGAGCCACTTTGAGATGAGAAGCCAGTTATTTCTAGTGATTTTAGATTGAAGTTGTTTTTTGGAGTACTTGGAATAGCTGCTGACTTTGAACACTGGAAATGATTTCATGTGGGAACACCGAATAATAACCCATCCGAGTAAACAACTTCTTGGGGGGTTATCAATATCATCCCTTTGTTGGAGTACATTATATCCAACAACGAAACCCAATCGAGCAGTGACTACGACCCTGGTTGATTTGGTAAATGATAGAAATTTATATCAATGTATAGGGTACTACCATGTACTAGCTATCCACAATTTGCATGAATTCATATGGTATAGCAATATTTGGTTGGTATGATATCAATTTATATCTATTGTGGCTTGGGATCAGTTCTTATCCACAATAGGAATCCAACTGAACCAGTCATCTGCCTCTGTCCTGCTGCCACTTTGCTGTTTCAGTCGGGTCAGCCCTTGCGGGTCAGCCGTTGCTATCATGGAGCTAGTGGTACGGTACAGGAAGGGCACCTCCACAGTTTTGTTTGTTGGCTTAGGATCGTTAGCCTATAAATCAACTTCCCTATTGTTTGGGGGCCCCTTCTTGAAAAAAAGCTTACCAGACCATACAACTCATGGTCAAAGAGAGGTAGAAGTGGACAACCAGTCAAAGCTCTATGGTCTCTTTATTTTGAATACCAGCACCTTATCTACCAAAAAGACCTCAAAGTGGCACCGACCCCGACAATTTCACCCCGGTTCACCCCAAACACATCAGCCATCAGCCATCATCAGCTCCTTTTCAGCAGCTGCCCACTTCACAGCAACGACAGCAGTCGGTACCAGTCTATGCCTCTCGAGCTGTGGCTCGAGTGCATTTGCGATCAGACTCAGTTTGGCGAAGACTTAGTGGCTTTGGCAGAAAAATCGATGGGGAATGATGTATTGTCCCATGTTATGATATATTTTTGTTCCCCATCCATATGCATATGTAATTAGATATATAATTAATGAACATAAATATAAATATGAATATATACATATATATACAATAATATTATCAATATTATTATGTATACTGTATATGTTATCTGGATATACATATTTTGGATTTTCACCAACAGTCAACAGGGAATATTCAACCACCAATAAATGAAGATACAACTAGCAATATTTGGTTGGTGGCTTCATATATTTCTTACTTTATCACTCCCCGATATCAGCATGGCATGGCTGAAGCCACATGGTCCAGATAAAAAAAATCCCAACTTGAAAGCATGCCGACTGGGGAAGGGCCTGATATTTTGAAAATTGCAGGTCAGTGAAACCCCATTGTACATATGATATATATAAAAATCACCATTAAATCACCATTAAATAACCAGTGGGATTTACTTGAATGATGGTTTCGCAGTCTCCCCTATTAAAATGATGATGGAGACTGGTGTGGTGGCTAGGTCATTTGATTCGAATACCTCATGTTTGACTGGGTCATAGTCGGTGCAATTTTTTCCGCATTTCAAGTGGAATCACACTCCAAGATGTTTTTTTTAAATGTTTTTTTCTTTTTCGAAAGGCAAATGTCCGAATTTTTGGAAAGTGTTGCCAACCCCCCTATTTTTCATCTCCTGAAACATCTTGGAATTGGGGGTGCTCCATAGGAAACCCCCGCTGTGGAAAAATGCTGTCGCCAGCGAATTCCCAGGTGGTTGTTGGGAACCACCCAGTGACCTGGCAGAGACTGGCTGTAATCATGGTTCTTCATGGGAAAATCCAACATAACTGGTGGGTCCAATTGGAAAATCATCTATAAATGGATTCGGGATTTTCCATTGTAAAAAATTACCAGAGTCTGGCAGAGGTATTTAGGGGATAATCTACATTAATGACACGGTGCGACCTCATGTTGCGACATCACTGGAATGATGGGGATTGGATTGGGCTAACTATTCCCACCGCCACCTGGACATTTTTCGGTGAATTATATATACTAAGCCGCAAAAAGATATAGAATGATATAGACACACTCAACTTCCCGGATGGTATAGATAATGTTGTCCACATCATTTTCAGGTGTGTCCAGGACACAAAGCTCCTGATTCGCTGCAGCATGAATCATTGCTATGTAGATAGAAACCTACTGGAGTAGAACCAATCAACTGGACAGCCGGAAAATGAAGATTTTGAAACTATGTACACACACACATATATATATATTATAGTTATATATGTATATAAATTATGTATAATTATAAATACATGATTGGGCGGGCAGCATCCACCTTTGTCGGTGTATCCTTTAAAATGGGAACAGCAAAAAAACGGGAGCCATGAGGTGTCCCATTACAGTAGAAGAAAATGGGAACAGCAAAATAGGGAGCCATTTTCGGAACAATTACAGTAGAAGAATCATTAGATCTTGGGGTCCCCCAATGGCCGGCGGCTGCATCTGCCAGCTGGATCGATGGAATGATCTGGAACCTCCGGGGTGGAAACTCACTGTTCACTGGACATATCCGATATTGGAAACTCACTAACTCACCCTCTTAATCCATAAGCACATATAGATATTGAAATCCTGTTAAGGACCAACCTTTGGTCAGCAAGGTTTGATGCTAATTTTGGTGGCTTCCAGCCAAAATCCCAATTTTCCAGTGATGTTCAGAGCCAATTTACATCCACACATTTCAGGAATTCTCCAATTTTTGCCAAGAATTGAGAAAATCAGCCGGATTTTCTGAGCCGACAGTTTCCACAGTTTCGTGAACAGTCCGCAGGTGCTGGGCAATTGGTCCGTGGAAAAGGGTGTAGTTCTTCGCGTCTCGGCGCAGATCTTTGGAGTTGAGGGTGATGCCATGGCGGCATCGGCTATGGGGCATTTCACCATGGTAGATGTGGGCTATGATTGACATGGGAATTTTGGGGGGATATTTTCGGAAGAAAATGTGGGAAATATGTGGGAAATATGTGGGATATAGATGGATATAGTTTGATCTCCTGGGATCGGGTTTGAATCGGATGATGATGGGATATCCACTCCATTGCTAAGAAGAGTTTTAAGCATGTGGGAATGGCTTCGAAATTATATATATATACATACACATATACATGATCCAGTCCACCGGCCACCTACCCCCCCGGTATCCCCCCTCCACACACTAGACAAGAAATGGATCATTGAAGTGATCCGTTGGCTTCTGAATCCCCTCACATGCAATTAGATGAGATTTATATATATATATACGGGCTATGGTGGCCACCAGCTGCGACTTAAATGCGCCCAGGTGCACCACCACAGCCCAGCAGGTACGGAAAACACGGGTCCCGGGGAGGTGTCTTCGTTGATCACCGACCCCCCGGGGACCCCGGTGATCCCCTGCTTTAAAGATATAATATAAAATAATACAATAAAATATAACATAATATAATATGATATAATATAATACAATATAATATAATATAATATAATATAATAGAATATAATATAACATAATATAATATAATATAATATATAGTATAGAGGTGAATGGCCAAACAAACAAACAAACAAACAAACAAACAAACAAACAAACAAACACACACACACACATACATACATACATACATACATACATACAAACATACATACATACATACATACGTACATACCTACATACCTACATACCTACATACCTACATACCTACATACCTACATACCTACATACCTACGTATCTACGTATCTACGTACCTACGTACCTACGTACCTACGTACCTACGTACCTACGTACCTACGTACCTACGTACCTACGTACCTACGTACCTACGTACCTACGTATCTGCGTACCTACGTACCTACGTACCTACGTACCTACGTACCTACGTACCTACCTACGTACGTACCTACGTACGTACATATGTACATACATACAGACAGACAGACAGACATACAGACATACAGACATACAGACATACATACATACATGCATACATGCATATAGACATACATATCCACCTATATCCATTCTTACCAACCTACCTACTTACTTAACTGCCTTCATATATACATGTATGTATGCATTCATACATACACAGACAGACAGACAGACAGACAGACAGATAGATAGATAGATAGATAGATACATATATACATACACCTACCTAGATACTAAAAGGTAGCATGTACCTAGTAAATGCGAGGCTGGTAGTCAGAAATGCCGCAAAGACCTAGCAAATACGAGGCTGGACCTCAGAAATGCTGCCAATAGCATGCAAATAGAAGGGAAGGGGGTGCTACCTGGGGACCCACCCGATAGAGGGCGGAAACACGGGACGCGGGACCATATATATATAATTATGCTATAATATAACATAATATAACATAACAAAATATAATATAATATAATATAATATGATATAATAAAAGACTAATATAATATAATTTAAAACACATAATATAATACAATACAATATAATATAAACAACAAATAGTATAATATAACATGATATAATATTACAAAATATAACATAATATAATTTAAGATAAGATAATATAATATAGTACAAAAATAATATAACATATTTTTATTTAATATAACAAAATATAAAATAATAAAAAATATAATATAATATAATATAATATAATGTAATATGACATATAATATGATATTTAAAATAACATAATATAATATAATATAACATAATATAATATAACATAATATAATACAACATAATATTATATAACATAAAACAAAATAAAATCATATAATATAATATGATATAATTTAATATATATATATAATATAAGATAAGATAAGATAATATAATTTAATATATATAATATAATTTAGTATAATTTAATATAATATATTAATATATATATATAGTACTAATATAATATTACATGATATAACAAAACATAATTTAATAAAAATATTAGTTACACTTATAATCACAATTATAGTTTTTAATTTTTTATTATAATTTTGATTATAATTGTAATACTATATATATATATGTATAGATGATCAGTTTCGCATGTCCATACAGGCTTGCATTTCACCACATTTCAGCACTGATACCAGATATCTCTGGGATATGGGAAATCCTGTCAGAGTTCTGTGTCATCTTAGGCACCGACGTCTCAACTTTTCCACTGTGGACCTTGGAGAAACCTCTGGTTCTGGAGGTCGTTTTTGGGTCGTTTTTGGGTCCCATGGGCGAAGATAGACAGGTGGAAGTTGTTGTGCGGGTGGTATGGGCGATCAGAATTTTATCTTCAAAGCAGAGAAAGGAAGCCAGGACGCCTGAGTTTTGATGGCAGGAGGATGAGTACATGCCACTATGGCTGGAGTACAAGCATCTTGGCGTTGGTCTTCAGGAGATAATTGTCTGGCGGCTTTGGGGAATTCGAGGAATTCCCCTTTGCGCTGTTAGTAGAGCTATGGACATTGCGAATTTTCATGAATGTTCGATTTTGCAGCACTTGCTGTAGAGACCAATAGCATCCAATAGCTACGAATAGTATGGGTTAGCATATAGGTTAACAATCTGGATATTGGATAAGTCCTCTGTATAAATCTGAAGATTGGGCACTGGATGAACTTTTCCGATGCCACAGCCTGTCACTGGCCAGCTATGGCATTCTACAGGGAATTCCACGTGATCACGTGGATCTAAGACCGACTCATGTGTTGAGTGGTCTTTCTGAGGTTTTCAACACTCCCATTTTTTCGGTTTCCAAACATGGTTAAGCTGAGTAAGCCCTCGCTTTCTGGTTGAATTTGCAAGTTCGTGTTGGTTTTACCTGCATTTACTGTGGGTAAAATCGCCAATGTTGACACCCAACACAGCCAGTGACTCTTCTTGCAGTATGTTTGCGGGTCATCCTGAACATTGTCTCCGATCCTCCTCTACCCATGTCTCCATGCCATGGTCATGCAACCCATTTCATGAAAATCCCGAAGAAATTCATATAACTAAAAATCCCTATGAACATGGATTGATGACAATCCCCCAAAATGGGTATACAGTCCAACTAACTTAACCATGGCACATATATATATATTTGCAGCCCCAAGGCACCAATCTATGATTAGATCGCACATATGAGGCCATTTGTGATCCGAAACTGCATTTTTTAATCTCATCCATTTTTGGTATATCCAATGATCCCAACTGTTGACTACCGATGGTACCACAGCTAAGGTATATCATCCGAGGCATCGAGACACATTGGGAGGTGCGGCAGGTGATATTCACGTAGCCTGGCACATATCAATGGCACATGTAGCGCCCAGGAAGAGAGGCAATCGTCGCCTAATCACTTTTTTGTTTGAAATAGTCTTGACCATCCAATCTTCAGAAGTAGAAGCTTATTATTTGGCCAATAAAACACCCATTTTTGTTTGCTGAATCTCCTAAGATTAACTGAAAATTTCCGATTGTTGATAGTTGCCGATAGGTCATGATCGCTGAACTCCCCTTGATCGACTGCTCAATTGTTGACCAGTTTTCTCTTTTTCAAACCATTTTTCAAGTGAACACCATGGGTTTTCCATGGTTTTCCATGGTTTTCCATGGGCTTTCCATGGTTTACCCCACATTTTAAACGAACGTTGCCCTTCGGCAGGACTTTGGGCGTCGGAGCTTGCCCATCTTCAGCTCCACCTCTCCAGTGACGGCCACGGCCTTCCTGCCGTGCCATGGTGAAAAAATGAATGTATTGATGTACCAGTAGTACCGCACAAGGCGATGGCGGAAGTTTCAAAGATAGGACACTATAGGAGAGGTGAATTGTTGTGATGCATGGATGGCAGAGCGAATCCATTGATGGACCGAAAGGTGGTTGGAGTTGTGTATTTTGGAGTGGTTGCAATGGTTGCAGCGGTCACCTCACCCACAACTGCTGCATCTAGTGTGGTGTAGCGCACTTGTAGTTGTAGTTGTAGTGTAGTGGAGGAGTTGTAATTGTAGCGTAGTGGAATTAGTGTAGTGTAGTTGCAGTTGCAGTTGTAATTCTGGTGTAATTAGTGTAGTGTAATGTAGCGTAGTTGAGTGTACTGTAGTGTTGTGTACTGCAGTGTAGTTTAGTGTAGTGTAGTCTAGTGTAGTGTAGTGTGAAGTAGTGTAGTTGTAGCTGTAGTTGTAGATGTAGTGTAGTGTAAGTAGTGTAGGGTAGGGTAGTGTAATGTTGTTGTGGTTGTGAATGTAGTGTAGAATAATTAGTGTAGCGTAGTGTTGCGTAATATCGTGTAGTTGTAGTTCTAGTTGTGGTGTAGTCTAGCGTAGTCGAATTAGCGTAGTGTAGTGTAATGTAGTTGTAGTTGTAGCTGAAGTTGTAGTAGTAGTTGATTGTAGTTGTAGCTGTAGTTGTAGTGTAATCAGTGTAGTGTAATCTAGTGTGATGCATGTGTAATTGTAGCTGTAGCTGCAGTAGTAGTAGTAGTCGTCGTAGTCGTAGTCGTAGTCGTAGTCGTAGTGGTAGTGGTAGTGGTAGTGGTAGTGGTAGTGGTAGTGGTAGTGGTAGTGGTAGTAGTAGTAGTAGTAGTAGTAGTAGTAGTAGTAGTAGTGGTAGTGGTAGTAGTGGTAGTAGTGGTGGTAGTGGTAGTAGTGGTAGTAGTGGTAGTAGTGGTAGCAGTGGTAGTAGTGGTAGTAGTGGTAGTAGTGGTAGTAGTGGTAGTAGCAGTAGCGGTAGCAGTAGCAGTAGTAGCAGTAGTAGCAGTAGTAGCAGTAGTAGCAGTAGCAGCAGTAGCAGTAGCAGTAGCAGCAGCAGCAGGAGGAGTGGTAGTGGCAGTGGTAGTGGTAGTGGTAGTGGTAGTGGCAGTGGCAGTGGCAGTGGCATTGGCAGTGGCAGTGGCAGTGGTAGTGGTAGTGGTAGTGCAGTGGTAGTGGTAGTGGTAGTGGTAGTGGTAGCGGTAGCGGTAGTGGTAGTGGAAGTGGTGGTGGTGGTAGTGGTCGTAGTCGATCTAGTAGTCGTAGTCGTAGTCGTAGTCGTAGTCGTAGTCGTAGTCGTAGTCGTAGTCGTAGTAGTAGTAGTAGTAGTAGTAGTAGGAGTAGGAGTAGGAGTAGGAGTAGGAGTAGGAGTAGGAGTAGGAGTCGTAGTCGTGGTCGTGGTCGTAGTCGTAGTCGTCGACGTCGTCATCGTCGTCGTCGTGGTGGTGGTAGTAGTGGTGGTAGTAGTGGTGGTAGTAGTGGTGGTAGTAGTGGTGGTAGTAGTAGTAGTAGCAGTGGCAGTGGCAGTGGCAGTGGCAGTGGCAGTGGCAGTGGCAGTAGCAGTAGCAGTAGCAGTAGCAGTAGCAGCAGTAGCAGTAGCAGCACCAGGAGCAGGAGCAGGAGCAGGAGCAGGAGCAGGAGCAGGAGTAGGAGTAGGAGTAGGAGTAGGAGTCGTAGTCGTAGTCGTAGTCGTAGCAGTAGGAGTAGTAGTAGTAGTAGTAGTAGTAGAAGTAGAAGTAGTAGTAGTAGTAGTAGTCGTCGTAGTCGTAGTCGTAGTCGTAGTCGTAGTCGTAGTCGTAGTGGTAGTGGTAGTGGTAGTGGTAGTGGTAGTGGTGGTGGTGGTGGTGGTGGTGGTCGTCGTAGTAGTAGTAGTAGTATAGTAGTAGTAGGAGGAGTAGTAGGAGTAGTAGGAGTAGACAAACCCATATCAAATTGTTGGGTATATATATATATGTATATATCAAATTGTTGGGTATATATATATATATATGTATGTATGTATGTATGTATATCCGATTATATCCAGGTCGAATATCCCGTTATACCCGTACCCCAGAATTTTCGCCTTTTTTTTGGGTGGGAAAGTTGATGATGGTCTGCTTTAATATTTTGAATTGGGTACCCCAATGTCATGTTGAGAGAAAGCAATACTTGTAGAGACACATGGCCAAAGGAAATTGTCAACTCTATACTTTCGAGTTATGGAGTTTCAACGCAGAGAAACCTCACAGCAAAGAAACCTCACAGCACAGAAGCCTCACAGCAAAGAAATTACACAGCAAAGAAGTCACACAGCAAAGAAATCTCACAGCAGAGGCCTCACAGCAGAGAAGCCTCACTGCAAAGAAATTACACGGCAAAGAAGTCACACAGCAAAGAAATCTCACGACAGAGAAGCCTCACTGCAAAGAAGCCTCACAGCAAAGAAGCCTCACAGCAAAGAAATTACACAGCAAAGAAATCTCACAGCAGAGACGTCTCACTGCAAAGAAGTCCCACAGCAAAGAAGCCTCACGGCAGAGATCACAGCAAAGAAATCACACAGCAAAGAAATCCCACAGCAAAGAAGTCACACGTCAAAGACGTCACACAGCAAAGACGCCACACAGCACAGAAGTCCCACTGCAAAGAAATCCCACAGCAAAGAAGTCACACTGCAAAGACGTCACACAGCAAAGACGCCACGCAGCACAGAAGTCCCACTGCAAAGACGTCACACAGCAAAGAAGTCACACAGCAAAGAGATCCAACTTCCACTTTTGGAGGAAAGTCTTGCATGAAAACTTTGCTTTCCATCTTCAACTTTCACTTTTGAAGGGATGTCTCGTACGAAAGCTTCGTTTTCACATCTTCAACTTTGACTTTTTGAGGGATGTCTCGCACGAAAGTTTTTTTTCTTCAGATCTTCAACTTTCAATTTGTGAGGGAGGTCTCGCACGATTTTTTTTCACAACTTTCACTTTCAGTTTTGGAGGGAAGTCTCGCACGAAAGCTTCGTTTTCACAAGTTGAACTTGCAGTTCAATTGCGACAAGGTTTGCGGCAATGAGTTTTTGCTGATTGTTCTTGTTTTTGATTCCTTTCATTTTCCTTTCAAAATTCCTTTTCCAAAAGCTTCAAAATCGTACTTTTTCGGCTTTGGCGCCGAGATCCGGTTTTGGAGCAGGTTTTGGGCCAGAGAATAGCTGAGATGAGGTGAGAAGAGCTGTCAAGAGCTGAGATCAGCTAAGATGATGTGAGAAGAGCTGAAGCCAGCTTAGACGATGCGCAAAGAGGAGAGAAGAAATGAGAAGACATGAGGTGAACTGAGAAGAGCTGAGAACAACTGAGAAGATGTGAGAAGAGCGAGATGAGCTGGAAAAACCGAGATGACATGAGATGGGATGACAAGTTGAGACGACCTGACATGAGAAGAGCTGAGAAGGGCTAAGTTGAGACAAGCCGCGTAGAATGGAGAAACTGAGAGGAACTGAAAGGAGGAGAATTCAGATGAGCTAACAAGAGATGAGAAAAAATCAAACGACATGAGAAGAGATGAGAACAGTCCTGATCAGCCGAGAAGAGCTGAGAAAAGCAGAGAAGACATGAGATGAGATGAGATGAACTGAGGTGACAGCCCTGAGAAGACACGACATGAGATGAGATGAGATGGGACGGGATGACGCAGACTGCGGTGACAATGGGATGCAATGAACAGTTTCCAAGAGAAGCTGCGAGGCGATGAGATCAAATGAAATGAGAAAAGGTCTAACCTTGAAAAGACATGGCACCGGAATGAAAAGTCAAGAGAATTGTTGCTGCGAAACACAGAAGGCTTGCCCGCGCTCTATAAGCACATTCTTTGTTCCGCTCCAGAGGCTATAGGCGCTTCAATTTTGAAACTTCCGCCCCCGGCTTGCCCGGGCACTACTTGTAGATCTGTAAGGCCCTCCACGGTGGATTCTAAGGCAATGGACAGAGGTTGGAAAGCCCATGAATCGACTTCTTCCCTTCTGCAGGCGGTGCTGTTTCAACGGTGCTGGGAACCAGAAGAACTCCTCCAGGTATGGATTCTCATGAAAACAATCTGTAGCCAACTCTCCAATATATTAGAACCATAATCATTTGCCAACCTGGATGACCAATTGTTGGGTATATCTGTCAATGGCTTGATTTTGTGCCATTAAGGAGGCACATTTGAGATTCCAGCAACCATGACCACTTTTTGTGCAAAGTATACAGTGGGGCTCAGGTTGTGTAGATACTGGGAAAGGTGGAACAATGCTCGCTGGCACCAATGGTGGGGGCAACTATATATCCGCAAATGGCTTACATTCAAGTGAATGAAATTTAGTGAATTACTATAATTTATCCAGAGAAGATCAGAAAAATGAGGATTTGACCAGTGGTGATTTGTTTTAATCATAACGATTGACAAAACCAGGATTTAACCATGGTTTTGGCCATCAAAAATAGGTGATCTGAGCGATTATACCCTCCAGCAATCAAACCTCACTGGGCCACTGGCCGGAAAAACTCAATGATTTCTCTGGAAATGGATGCCCGCTGGGGATTTTCCACTACCATGTTGGATTACCGGAGGGCAAATGTTCAATGAAGATGATCGCCAACAACCTCATCATATATGGTGGTTCTTGCTTGGTTATTCCAGATAGCAACTGGTGACTATCGCCACCGAGCCAGGACTATCCCGTTTACAACCAGGTTACACCCCCACTACAAAACCAGGTAGGGATTGGGGTGATCCTCCAAACGTTTGTCAGTAAGGGAGACATGAACCCTTCAACTGGCCGTGGTTTTTTGTCCTTTTATGGGGGTTTGTCGGATGCTACTACTAATGCATCCTCATGACAGGCAGCAAGTGGATTGTATGTCATTTGGTACTGAACGCGTATAGATAGGTGTAATTCACCAATCTGGTATATGTAGATACACAACATAAGTATACAGTCATATGTATATATATATATATTTGTAGGTATATTTGTGGACATTTCTGTCTATTTCCACACGGCCCGATTGGTTCTCCAACAACGACCCATCCGAAAAAACCGCGGCCGTGGTTTCAGGGGACGACGCTTGAAGCCTGGTCTCATGCTGAGGGTAGTTGCTCGGAACATTTTTACGACAGGCGGTGGCAGTATGAGTTCTAGGGGATCCGTTTTTTTTTATTACTGGGGAATATAGCTGGGATATCATGGGAGATATCACCAACTTGAGAAAATAGATTTGGGTCTGTCTGAAACTGTGCCATGGGCCTTCAATTTATGGCCACTTTCATCAGGAAAATGATGGGATGAGAATGATGAGAATGATGGGAATGATGATGATGATGATGATGATGATGAGAAGGAAGAAGAAGGAAGAAGGAAGAAGGAAGAAGGAAGAAGGAAGAAGGAAGAAGGAAGAAGGAAGAAGGAAGAAGGAAGAAGGAAGAAGGAAGAAGGAAGAAGGAAGAAGGAAGAAGGAAGAAGGAAGAAGGACGGGAGGGAAGAAGGAAGAAGGAAGGAAGGAAGAAGGAAGAAGGAAGAAGGAAGAAGGAAGAAGGAAGAAGGAAGAAGGAAGAAGGAAGAAGGAAGAAGGAAGAAGGAAGAAGGAAGAAGGAAGAAGGAAGAAGGAAGAAGGAAGGAAAGGAAAGGAAAGGAGGAAGGAGGAAGGAAGAAGGAAGAAGGAAGAAGGAAGAAGGAAGAAGGAAGAAGGAAGAAGGAAGAAGGAAGAAGGAAGAAGGAAGAAGGAAGAAGGAAGAAGGAAGAAGGAAAAGAAGAAGAAGAATATTCACCATTGGATTAAATAGGGTGCCCTCTGGACAAACCCATAGCAAGCAGACCTTTTCAGTTGCCCTCAACTATGATGTGTCCCTCCCACGAGCCCATCCCTGAGTGTTGGACGCCTCTTTGATGTGCTGTTTCGGCTTTCAGGAGAGCAAGCAAGAACAAACATACGTTAGTTTGCAGCAGATGTTAGAACGAAGCAATGGCGACAGATCCATCACAAAGTGCCACTGTATCAAGTGGACCACGTGCATCCAGTGGACCAAGTGCATCCAGTGGACCAGGTCAAGACCTTCGGCTAGAGGACATACCGGGCTACTCCCGGTTGCCCTGCAATCAGTTTTTCGCACCTGCACAAACCGGGTCGAAGTTGTTTTTGTTTCTGCTACCCTGGGGTAAACTCACGTAGATATGGGGGTTTCCTAAAATGGTGGTACCCCAAAACCATGGGTTTCAATACTAAAATGGTCTAAATTAGGATGATTTGGGTATCCCTATTGTAGCAAACCCCCGTATGGTTATACATCTATCTTAGTTGACTGTAGGGTAATGGGCCAGCACGGGGTACCACCAGCAACAGCAAGAATGACAAGTCTATCCGTCCCGTGGTCACGCCCAGCTACACAGCAACACAGCAAACACAGCAAACACAGCTACAAACCACACAACTACACAGCTAGACAGCTACACAGCTACACACGCACACACAGTACATACATGGTGTACACATATGTGGAATATATATATATATATATAGAATGGGCTAGCGCCCGGGTGCCGCCGACCCTTTTTGGGGGGGCTGCGGGGCTTTTGAGGCTTTTAACGGGTGCCCAAAACGTGCCACGTAGCAGTTTCGAAGCCCAATAGAAACAGCTTGTGGGGCCTAGGGAGGTACCATGGCAAAGCAGGCGGGACGCCTTCGCAAGCTGCTGCGGAGGGTTTTGCGGTTCAAAGGGTTTCGAAAGCTGCTGCGGGGCTTTTGAGGCTTCTAAGGGGTGCCCAAAAAGTGCCACGTAGCAGTTTCGAAGCCCAATAGAGACAGCTTGTGGGGGCCTCGGGAGGTACCATGGCAAAGCAGGCGGGACGCCTTCGCAAGCTGCTGCGGTACCCTGGCAAAGCAGGCGGGACGCCTTTGCAAGCTGCTGCGGAGGGTTTTGCGCTTCAAAGGCGTTCGAAAGGTGCTGCGGGGCTTTTGAGGGTTTTTAAGGGGTGCCTAAAGCGTGCCACGTAACAGTTTCGAAGCCCAATAGAAACAGCTTGTGGGGCCTGGGGAGGTACCATGCCAAAGCAGGCGGGACACCTTCGCAAGCTGCTGCGGAGGGGTTTGCGGTTCAAAGGCCTTCGAAAGCTGCTGCGGGGCTTTTGAAGGTTTTTAAGGGGTGCCCAAAACGTGCCACGTAGCAGTTTCGATGGCAAAGCAGGCGGGACACCTTCGCAAGCTGCTGCGGAGGGTTTTGGGGTTCAAAGGCCTTCGAAAGCTGCTGCGGGGCTTTTGAGGCTTTTAAGGGGTGCCCAAAACGTGCCACGTAGCAGCTTCGAAGCCCAATAGAAACAGCTTGTGGGGCCTCGGGAGGTACCATGGCAAAGCAGGCGGGACGCCTTCGCAAGCTGCTGCGGAGGGTTTGGCGGTTCAAAGGCCTTCGAAAGCTGCTGCGGGGCTTTTGAAGCTCTTAAGGGGTGCCCAAAACGTGCCACGTAGCAGTTTTGTGGGGCCTCGGGAGGTACCATGGCAAAGCAGGCGGGACGCCTTCGCAAGCTGCTGTGGAGGGTTTTGCGGTTCAAAGGCCTTCGAAAGCTGCTGCGGGGCTTTTGAGGCTTTTAAGGGGCCCAAAATGTGCCACGTAGCAGTTTCGAAGCCCAATAGAAACAGCTTGTGGGGCCTAGGGAGGTACGATGGCAAAGCAGGCGGGACGCCTTCGCAAGCTGCTGTGGAAGGTTTTATTTGGTTCAAATGCCTTCGAAAGTTGCTGCGGGGCTTTTGAGGCTGCCCAAAACGTGCCACGTAGCAGTTTCGAAGCCCAATAGAAACAGCTTGCGGGGCCTAGGGAGGTACCATGGCAAAGCAGGCGGGACAAGCTGCTGTGGAGGGTTTTGCGGTTCAAAGGCCTTCGAAAACTGCTGCGGGCTGCGGGGGGTGTTTTTAAGGGCCATGCCGCACACCTACGGTGATCCCGGGCGCCGCCCCGCCTAGGCCAAGGCTAGGCAGGGGTCGGCGGATATACATATACATACATACACATACATGTATAATGCGGGTTACACCATCGAACATGGGGCTCCCCAAATCCCGAAACAGACATCCGTGAGTTTCGTTACCGTTTCGAGTTCCGAGGTGCTTGTTCTGGACCTCGCCTTGTGGCTGCAGGAAGGGCGATCGCTGTGTCTTTTGTCACCACGCAGTGGCGCAGGAACAGGCACATCTTTCCAACCGGCGGCCGCGGAAAAATCAGCGAGACCAGATGAAGAGTTTCATCAAAGAGCTGGTGGAACACCTGAACGCAGAACAAGAACCGCAGGAGGTGGCTGAAAAATGACGAAAATCACTCGTGAAGCAATCGTTTGTGACGAAAATCACCTTTACTCGAATTGGGCAAGAAATTGAAGTGATGATATTCCCTTTTTTTGATTGGTGAACTCCATAGTTTGGCCCAGTTCCCTCAAATCTGGAGGTTCATTTGCCCCCAACTTGGGGTGTTTCTTTGGGATGCGACACAATTCGCTCATTTTTTAGGTGGTCCATCTCCTCCAAATCGAAGCCCAGCAATGTAGCTTCGCCCGTGTCCTATGCCAAAGTCAGATCAATGACCTATGTTGGGAGATCCTGGCTACTCAGACCGCTGGAGACCCTCCCAACCAGTCATCGAACCTTGCTTCGTCCAGTACCACAGAAACGCGATGCGATGGCATCATCTGCTTTCAACTGTGAGCTTTGACCCAAGGCTTGTACAGTGATCTAATATTTTATATTGTCCCTCCCTCGCCAAAGAATCATTCCCACAGAAAGCTGTTGGAGCTTAGTGTAGCGTGCTCTAGGTTTTGACTGATCTGTACAACCCGGTGTAGCTTGGGCTCAAGGTAGGGGGGGGGCCATGGTCAAGGCAGCGCTAGGGGTTTTGTACCTCCTGGCTTCCGCCACGGCAAATGGTTGGGACTTGCTGCAGTGGGGACTGCAGTCAAATGCCACTCCCCAAACGGCTCAGGAAACAGTAAACGAACCAAGCAGCTTTCGCTGGTTCAGGGCCGACCGAGGCGGGAGATCCCGCCCGGCGCAAACTGGCCCTGAAACCTCCCAGGAGACACGGCACCGATCCTGGAGAGCGACCTTTGAATCCATTGGCAGATATTGGTGGGTGCGCATCTGGGTAGACTTGATCCTGCAAGTAGCAGAGAATGGGTTACACTACTGCGGGACACTCTGCGCATCGATCGGTTTAGCTGCCAAATGGAGCTACTGGTTGCTTACAGGGGTTGTGATCGTGTTCCTGTTACAGCTGCTGGTTTGGACATACACTTGGGTTGTCCATCCAGCCTGGGTCCACTCAAGGGCCCTCTGGCGATATTGCCAGGGCACTGGGACCTGGAGTGACGTCACTCGCCTACAAGGCCAAAGGCCCTACATCCCAACGTGGAGAGGGCCTGGTACCAGCAACCCCTGGACAGCACAGTATGTCCAGAGGGAGGTGCGAGGGAGGGGGTTGAACCAACGACCTCTAGATCTCTTGGTTGCGGACGGGGTAGCAGTAGCTCGCCTCCGACACGACACAATCAGAGGCCGCACGAACAGGCATGGGTTTGTCTGCGCCTGCAATGAGGTACGTGCCTCCTCTCACCGGTACTTTAGGCACCATCTGGAAACTGCTAATTGCACCATCCATTTGTGTTCGCAAGACCCATGCACAGCACCTGAAGCGTCGCAAGTGCACATCAAGGCCAGTTCGGTCATACCCCAGGACCGGGAGATCGATCTGCAAGACCTTGCTGGAAGGGGGCCTTGGGGTAGGTGCGCGGTCCTTACCAGCTTTTGCGGGGCCTTGTGGTGCGGATGTTGCCGCAAGAGCATATCCCGGTGTGCCAAAATCTGGTGTTGGTGTGTTTCCTGCAGGAGGCGCCCGAGGCGGGTTTCCCGCCCGGGCGAAGGGCCGGAACATGGCCCGAGCGACCGGCATGACGACTCCGAAACCGAGTCTGAAGCGGAAGTCGGACCCACGGACCAACCTTGCCAGGCGGATCAAATCGCTATTGATTCCAGTGGCAAAGTGACCTCGCTGGCCATGGAACCGTGTCGAGACATTGCGAGGGGTCAACCGGTTTGCCTCCTCAGTGCAGATAGGGCGAGCAGCTGCCTTGATGGGCTGCCTAGTCTTGCAGACGGCACCTCAGGATTCCACGCCTGTGAATATCACCGCTCGATGTACCAGGGCTCGTTAGTCAACAGGGCGTGCGCGGTGCAAGGCTGCCTTAATTCAGCCACCAAGAGAAAGGAAGGCGTCCTCCTGTGCAGGTTACACAACGCCAAGGAAGAAAAACCACTTGGAAGCAAGACTACCCCACAAGCTACCACTAGGAGACAGCCCAGGGCAGGGAATGGATCAGAAGCGGTTCCTAGCACACTCAAGGCCGCTTCGCCTTTGGCAGTAGACAGCCAAGCAGCACCAAGCTCGAGGGCAGAACCAGCTGACCTAGCCGAGCTGATGGTGGAACTTCTCCAAGGGAAGGACTCGGAGTCAGCCTTCCGTTCTTTGGCAAGCTCTCGTGAAAAATGGCATGAGCCCGAATTCCGTGCAGATCTTAGCCGAATGGCGAAAGAATATATTGCTCGACAAGAAGAGAAAGGGGGGGAGCCCTCCAAAGCGTTGAGAGCCCTTAAACACTTTGTGGCACCCACCCCCCTTGGGCAACACCGCCAAGACAGTGACCCCGTCGTTACGCTCCTAGAAGCCAGAGAGACCGTAGAAGATCTACGAACCAATACTCAGGATCAAGAGCCGCGACGCACTGTGGGCGACATGCCGGAGCCCCAGGTGACTATGGCACAAGCCCTCTTCCGACCAAAGGAGCCAGGGACCGCGAGCTTCCCGGGGCCGGTATCCGGCCCGGGACACGGTGGCCTCGCCTCGAGGCTCGTACCGAGCCCGGGAGCGGTTGACCTCTTTCCCGGAACGGCCCATGCGTTGCCCCCTCTGTCAGGCCAAGGCTTGGGAGCCTTCAGGCCCTATCATGCCGGGGCTTATACTGACCCGGGACCGCCCGCCCTTGATGAGGCATCTAAGGCCCTGCAGACTATTGCTAAAGCCATATCCTCCAAGGACGAACCCTCTGGTCAAGAACGGGGCAAGCTTTCTTCTATTGGCAAAACTGAAGAGCGCTTGGTCTTCTTGGCCCGGGGGTGTGACACCCTTACCGTGCACATCGGGGAGGCGACGGTAGGCAAAGACCTATATCATGCCCTAAGGTCTATGGCTTCGCAGAACAGACCTCTTCTCTGCGAGATTGGGTATCCGGTCAACATCAGCAACCGGATTGCCTTTGGAATTTCGTCCCTCAACATCGGGGGCAAGGGGTCCGTTCCGGACTACTGTCTCAGCGTGGCAGATTTTCCTCAAACATCAGAAGAAGAGTTTGACCTTTTCTCTCCTCCGGGGGATAACAAACTAGAAAAAAGGGGAAGAAACCCTACCACACTCACCGGTTGGTACAGGAATGCTTTGCGACAGGCCTGGGCCCTCGCGTGCGCTTTCGGGGCTGAATTTTACGCAAGCTGGGAGAGCGCTGCTGCGCAGCTCCTTAAGCTTGGTGAAGAATACACCCACGTTTGGCCCTTACAAGCCGTCCTCAGCACTTGGGAGGAACTCTGGGGCCGCTTCGTGGAAGAGCTCAGGGCCATCGACCGCAGCGCGCGACGGGAAATGCAAGATGAGAGTCCCAGTTTCGACAGACTGCGCTTCTTTGCCACTTCACCTGGGGCCGACGGGACGCCTTGGCTCAGGTTGCCACAGACCTTTGACTTGCAGGCCTTGGGAGAGTACTTCCAAACCGACATTGTCCCCCGTCAAAGGCGGCTTCTTGATCGAGCCTGCTGGAACATGGCATTCAAACGCCCGTCCCTAGCAGGGGGAAGGGCAGGTGAAAACGCGGATAACGCAGCGGGAAATTTGGGAGATGGCGCTAAAGCCGGAAACCAACACACTCCAAAACCCAATGCCCCAAAGGAAGTTGGTCAGCTGCTCGGGTCTCCGCTGACGCCCAAAGAAGTCAGCCGATCCATGGACCATCGACCCAAGGATCGAACAGGCAAATACCTTTGTTGGGACCATTTTTCCCACCGCAAATGCGCAAAAGGCAAAGACTGCCCCCATTCACATGTCGGGGGAGCCCCGAAGTGGGACACCCTCGATTGGAGCATTCAGATGCAGCTATTGCGCCGAGGCGGGCATCCCGCCCGGGCGAAGCTGAAAGCAGGTCAGGTCGACGCCGCAGTTGAAACTATTCGCAAGGAGCAGGCAGCGAAGCTGGCTACGAACGTACAGGAAGGAAAAAGGGCCAAAGAGCGAGAAACCTCTAAGAGGGCAGCCGGACCACCAGAAGACCCCCCTGAAAGCCACACACAATATCGTAACGATACGAGGGCTGGTTGGGTCTCTGCCCCCGGAGGGCTGAACAACTTCGCACCCACCGACATGGAGGCGCCACTTGCCTCACTGATGGGAGGGCAGGCAGAAACCAGTTGGACTGCCGATCATGCAAGCCCTGCCGTACGCACGGCCCAACTGGTCGTCCCGCACGATCAGCCGGAGGCGGGGGAGAGGCTGAGACGTATGCAGGTCATTGACGACACCTTGCAGCTCCCCGAAATGCCCCCGCATCTGGGCGTGTATCTTCGGAATCGGGTGCTCACTGACGCCGCTGCCCAGCCTCAGGCTGCTGATATCCAAAGGTATCTGGAAGAAGCGGTTCAGGAAGGAAGCGCAGAACTGGCCGCAGAAGCCACCGAGTTCTTACAAACCTATCCGGACTTGCGGGTAGGGTCTGTCTCGCACCGCGGGGAGCTCAGTGTCCTGTCTGCGGACAGCAATTTGGGGGCCGCTACCGGGACCTTCACCTGGCTCGATACCACTTATCACGTCTATGATTATGGTGACCAGTTGAGCCCAGCCCATTCAGGGCTGCTGCCGTGTGACGAGCCACACCCATCGCAGGAACCCAGGCAATGTTTTTTCCTCCACGTGGCGGCTGGCCTGCTCACTAGAAAGTCCGGAACCCCGCCTACTTACGAGGAGACGTGTGTGCAGGCTCTGGCCCTTCAGCGCGAAATGTACCACTCCGCGGAAGAATGCCTTCAAGCCCTAGGGCCCGAGCCTGATCAGTGCACCCAAGCGGAGGACGACCTGCGCACTTTCGCGCATGACGCTCTCTATTACGGCCATGATAAGGATTATCGATGTTTGGCTGCTCTTCCCCTGTCGGCCGCCGATGAGCGCACCTTTTGTCTCGTCCGCATGGACGACTGGCGCCGGGTCACTTGTGAGGTCATTCAAGGGGTTAGTTCCTGCGCCACACCTCGGAGCCTAGTTTGGCTTCTGGTCCACCAAGGTCACATGCGCCTGCTCTGGTCCACCAAGGTCACATGCGCCTGCTCGTTCCGCCCATGGACCGGGCTTTGCCTACCGGAGCCCGCGTAGTCTCGGCTGCCGGTTGGGAACTTCACCTAGAAGCGGCTCTGACGCACGGGGCGCGCCTTCGCGCCCGTGCCGCCAAACCCTGCCCTCGGTGCTATTCGGATCCACACCGTCGCACCGGTCGTGCTGCCGGCGTTTTTGGCTTATGTCCCTTTCCGTCCCCGCCACCCGTAGGCACTCGCACGGGGGCACCTGCTTGGGAAGACACCGAGCCCTCCCCGTCGCAATGGTCTAGGCAGGACTTGGCTTACTTGGCTTCCTGGCTTGGCGCCGATCTTCCTGATGGGACTCCCCCTGATCTCTTTGATCTGGCACCGCCCCCTTTCTCGGTATCTACCGGGGTTACGCAGGCCGGAGGCCTCGCTCTTCGTTTCCCGCTTGAAGACGACCTAGCCCTCCGGTGTGGAGCGACCCGCTCTAAGCTTCGAGCCGTTATCACTCTCCTTCGCCCACGACACCTTTGGCTTACCCTGCCCCTCCACCCCTTTGGAGGCTGGGGCCGTTTTGAATCGTCTCGCGGCAAGGATGCTTCCCCCGGCTCTGGATGTGGCCGCCGCCACCTGGACTTCCTCTTGGACCTAGGCCGCCTTCAATCCCTGTCCGGGGGCACCTTCAGCGTGCTCCACCATCTTACCAGCACCGCGTGGCGGGAACCGGCAGCTGTCGCTCTTTTGGCTTCTGTCCCACGGGCGCGGCTCCTGCTCGGCCCGACCCCTGGCCTTCCTTTTTGCCTTAAAACGACTCTGCCGTCTTTACTCCCTCTCACAACCCTCCCCTCTGGGACCGATCTCTCCACGTCCGTCGCCAAGGCCCTGCTCCCCGAGGCGCGTTTCGCGCCCGGGGCCGGCTTGCGGCGAGCCGGTCACGCTGCCCTTCGCCTCCCCTTTGGGGACGCCTCCGGGGCGCACCTGGGGCGGGGGGGGGGCGGGGGCTTCGCTGCTCTCCTCGCTCAGCAAAAGCGATGTCTATGGGCTTCGAGGGCCACTGCAGGACCCTCCTCCAAAGCAAACGGAGGAAGCGGCGGGCGCCTACCTTGATTTTTTCCAAGGCAAGGATTTTACGAAGGAAAACTTTGCCGAGGCGGCCCAACAGGGGAGCAGACTCCTGGAGGTCGCAGGAGGATGGAAGGAGGCGCTGAGGGCCATTCGACGGCATTGGGTCCGGACACACGGGGATCACCTCGCAGGACTTCACAGCGACTTTTTCGAAGGATTGGTTCACCCAGCTATCTTGGAGAGGGCCAGGCACGTGGCCGTTTGGGGAGTCTCCGCAGAAGCAGATTTGGAAGAGACCCAAAGGGTGCAAAGCGCCCCCCATCCTAGCCTGAAGGAGCACATCGAAGAAGCCGCCAAGCAGCTTTGGGAGGACGCCGCCAAGGGGCGGTCCCTTCTTTGTTACGACAAAGGAGAAGGACTGGAAGGGGTGATTTCCGTCCCTATGGCCCGTGTACCAAAGATGAACCCAGACCGGAGTATCTCCGAAAAGGGCCGCATTATATGGGACGCCACCCCGATAAACAAGTACTGCCACAAAACACGCCACCCACCTGCGTTGCAACCACGTCACCAGGAAGTGGCTCGCGCGATCCTTTGGTAGAGGCTTCGGTTTCCCCGAATCAGGATCCTGCTCAGCAAAAAGGACGTGGCGGAGGCCTTCAAATGGATCCCCATCAAATTGGAAGACGCCAAGCTCTTCGCAGCTGATGTCCCTGCTGAATTCACTCAGACTTCGGAGGGGACCACGTTGATTTATAGTTTTTTGACGTTTGGCTGGTGTGGTGCTCCGGGTGAGTACATGCACTTCGCCTGGGTTATCAAGTCAGCGCACGGGTCGTTCGCTCCGGACAATCACCGGTGGGAAGATGACGTTCCCTTCCATTCCTTCGTTCTCATGGACGACACCGTTCTGATCGAGCCGGAGTTGGGCTTCAGGCCGCAGCTCTCTGTCGCCCTATCCGAATATGTCACAAAGGCCACCCTTGGGGAGGGCAGTATCAATGCTGCGAAGGACGCTCTCGAAGGTAGGCTTGAATGTCGGAAATTGATATGGGGGCTGGTGTATGACACCCAGTCCTACACTCGCAGCCTCCCTGCGGCAAAGCTGGAGAAGGCGTACCATCTTTTGCACCTCCCTGATTTCGATAGTGGGTGTACCCATGTGCCTCTTCGTCTTGTCCAGGAGCTGAGGGGAAACCAGCAGTTTTGGCTGGCGGTGCTTCCAGGGCTCAGTCCCTACTTAGGGGCGACGAATGACCTCCTGGGCCCGGCTGACGAAAGGGGGTTCGCGAAACCTAGAGGCACAGTGGCACAGCAGAAGGCCATTTGGGCACGTTTTTGGGAATCAATCGAGCTCCAAAGACTGCTCGTGGATGCCACTTCACAATGGGAAGTCCGATTTACCCACCCTCTGACTTCAGCCCTCACTGTCCGGGAGCTCCTTTCCTTCCCAGGAATGAGTCAAAAAGTTGTCTGGGCGTCAGGAGATGCAACCCCCCACAAGTTGGCGGCCGTGGATTGGGAAGCCAACGTGGCGGTAGTGGAGCCGGCGGAATCCGTGTGGGAACGCCTCCGGCGGTTTTGCGCCGAGCACGACCCGGAGCTTGCAGCTGCGGAGGAGGAGACGTCGACCGTCACCGAGGCTCGTTCTGAGCCCGGAGACGGGTTGATGATTTCGCTTGCTGAGCTTTTGGCCGTCGTGTCGTTGGCGTGTCTGAGATGGAAGTCCTGGAAGGGAAAAATTGTCATCTACGCCGGAGACAACAGTAATGTTATCTCATGGCTAGCCAGAAGACACGCAGGACCACCAGCGGCTCGGTTCCTTCTACAACTTCTGGCGGCACTTGAGACAGTTGGAGGCTTCCGCTTGCACGCCGAATATATCCGGACCTATCACAATCAAGTCGCGGACGCTCTCACGCGGGAAGAAGAAGGGCCGGTTCTATCAGCTTGGAACCTGGAACGAAAGGATTTCTCCGAAGTCCTCCTTGCCACGCTGGACAGGGGGTGGACCCGTCGGGCCCTGCTATGGGATGGAATGGACCATGAGGACCAAGCCTCCGCCCTGCACATGGGGTTGAGACGACATCCGGAAGGCCCGCAGGGGCTTCGATTCCCATTGCGGCCAGGCATTGTCTGCTGTGAGCTTGGCCCGGAGCCCCGCGTGTACCACTTGGAGTTGCTGTCCAGAGGTTTGAAAATGCAGGAGCCCGGCCTATTGGCTGACGAAGAGGCGGTCTGCGTTTTCTATTGTGTCGGAAGGGACGAGGTTGCCACCGCGTCCAGCCTTGCCCAACAAGCCCAAGGTCTCCAGCCCAAGGGGATATGGGCCGACTCCATCTCCTCCCTTGGCCTGAAAAGCGCTCAGGCTAGGTTACAAGAGAATGGATGGCAAACCCGGGTGGTACTCGTCAGCGGCCGGACACTCCAAGATCAGTGTTGGTGGAAGCGATGGATTCTCCTTGCCGTCCCTAGGGGCGCGCAGATGCCAGACCTTCCGTGTTTGACCGCGGATGACGAGCCCGACACTGCCCCGCTGCACACATACCCCACGGAGTGGCTTTTGGAGGATCAAAAAGTCCCGGGTGACCTCTGGGTCAGGGGAAGACTAAAACTTGATACCTCTATCCCGTATCTAGGACAGGCAACCCCTAAGCCCAGGGGCTCGGTGTATGTGGAGGGTAGTGTTCGTAGGCACGTTTGGGACCCCTATAAACCACTTCCCCAACTCCATCACAACTCCGGCAATCCCCAAAGTAAGGATTCGCTTTTGTTGCTAGGGAAGGGACCTGAGGGACCTGCGGCGAGGTATATCACGCCCGGGGAAATTTTTAAATTGTTGGGTGGGAGGGTTGAGTTGTTACCCCCCAATGTGTTGGCTGAAAGTTTACCCCTGCTGTCCATTTTGGCTACCCCTCGTAGTTTGGCTCTAACGGCTGGGAAGTGGGCTAGTTCGCTGGGCACGACCGGGCCGCGCGACCCCGCCGCAACCAATCAAGTGCTGACCGAACCGAGCTTGGCAAACTCGACCCAATCCGAGGTTCAAGACGAACCCGGACCGGCTGCGGGGGCCGAGGCTCGCTTCGAGCCCGGTCAACTCCCAACCGACAGAAAGGTCGGGATTTGCGAATTGCCTTGGGAATCCGCAGCGCGGGAGGCGCTCATGTCTTGGCTCCAAGAACGTGGTTGGGGAGATTCCAAGGTTGGAGGGAAGCACAAAAAGCAGAGGAAGAGTGGCAAAAAGATGGAATGGCAGGAGGAGCTGTCAAAAGCCATGTCTCGATGCCTCAGGCACGAAGCAGAATGTATAACAGAAGACGGCTGGGTGGAACTGCCCGACCTCCTGGAATACCTCCGTAAGCGCCTGAACTGGCAGGAGAAGTATTTCACGGAGCAGGTCATCCGGGACGCCGTGGAGGAGAACTTTAAGCAGCGGTTTGTTGTCAGAGAAAGCGACGGCCGCCCATACATGGCGGCATGGTCGGGCCACACCATCGACGGTGTCTATGGGCCGGGGGCAAGGGTAGCTCCCGAAGACGTCCCCCCGACACTGGTGCATGGAACGTACCGTCGCCATGTGAAGTCGATCCAGGAAAATGGGCTCCGGGGCGACAGACGGATGGCTCATCTGGTCAACCCAGATCAGGCGTCGGGCAAGTGGAGGTCGGACTTGGAGGTGAAGATTTCCGTCTCTACTAAGGCTGCGATGGAGTCCGGGGTCGTCTTTTACGTCACGGGGAATTCTGTGTGGCTTGCCAGCGGAACAATCCCGCCGGCAGCCTTGGGCGATGTCTCGGACTGGGACACAGCCGAGTTTTGGTACGCTGCAGAGGGACCCAAAAAGAGCCTGAAAGGGGCGTCCGCCAGCAGTCAGGTGGGGCCCGTGCCGCAGCACCGGGGGGAGGCCAGCTCCAGCAATCAAGGCAAGAGAGGTCGGCGTCGGGACGAGTGGGTGGAGGAAGAAGAGCCACGCAATTCTGCAAAGCTCAACCTCGCTGCCTACCGCTCGATAGCCTGGCCCCCGTCCAAAGCTCAGGAGAAAGACCCCAGGGAAGAGCTCGCCCGAACTGCGTCCGACCTGGCGGCGGCGGTAGCTGGCTTGGCCTGCCAAGAAGGCGAAGAGGAGGTCAACGTTGATCCGGATACTCTGAAGGCGGACGTCGTCGTTATCTCGGAGCCTGACTGGGGCGCCTCCGACCCGGAAATCCAGGAGGCGCTCGTACCAATGACAAAGCTGGAGGGATCCCTCGAGGTCAAAACCGAGGCTCGGTCCGAGCCCGGGGAGACCTTACAGGAAGCTGGCCCCGCTGCTCCCGCGACCAAGTTCGAAGAATTGCCTGTTGCCAAAGCCGAGGCTCGATTCGAGCCCGGTGAGGCCCTGCAGGAGGCTGCCCCCGGCGTCAAAGCCGAAGAAGAACTTCGCCCATCTGCCCCTAATCCAGCTCAGGCGGTCGGTCCTGGGGAAGCCCCGGCTGCTGACCCATGGGAGTGTTAAAGGGGAACCCGATGCCCGTGCAGAAGCGCCGGTGAGCCCGAAGAGTTCCGATGCCTGCATTCCATCCAAGATGTCTGACAGGCCGAGCGGGCCGAAGTGGGAGACAGATCGCTGTAAGGAGGAAGCAGATGGCGGAGAGGGCGCGGGACCTTCCCGAGCCAGGGATGACCCCGCTCCTGCTAGGGACCGGGCCCTGATCCCCAAGGGAGGGTTGAAGTTGGGATCCGGGAAGCTCAGGTTGCTGCAGGAAATCGCTCGGGCTGACGAAGCGAACTGGCAGAACCTCCAAGAATCCCTCGCCAAAGCGGAAGAGGATGGGTCGACCAAACAAGATTTGATAGACGACCTGTCAAGGCTTACTGCGCAGCGAAAAGAAGCTGCCGAAGGGATACAGCAAAGTTTGGAAACCGAGATCCAACGCATCAAAGATGCAGAGGATGAAGACAAAAGTTATCTCGAAGCCTTGGACGCTCAGGGAAGTTACATGCGAGAAGTGGAAAGGAGAAATCCGGTGCGGCCTTCTAAAGCCGTCAAAGTCCTCAAGTCTGCCCGGCTCGACCTCGAGATTGAAGCAGGCATCAGCGTTTGGGTGGCTAGGCGCCGGGAGAAAGGCAGACAGAGGGCACGTATGCACCGTGAGAGAACTCAGGGAGGCGAAGCTAATCCCTCCGCTGAACCTCTCGAGTCCCCTGAGGCAGCAGCAGCCGCACGAAAGGAAGCCGCGCGAAAGGAAATTCAAGACTTCCGAGCCTCACTGCTGCAGGCCGATGGCCAACCAAGGAAATTTCGAAGAGCCCCAGACTCGCAAAGACGAAAGGAAGCGAAGAGACTGAGGCGCCAAACTCGTCGAAATGACGACGCTAGTAGAGACACCAACCACGCCATCGCGCACGCCTACCCATTAGGTGGAGAAGTGGTGGTGAGGCAGACTACGCTGTGGCTTGCAGGGCAAGGTGTCAGGCCGAGTCTACCAATCGAACTGTTTGGAATCTTGGTAGCAGCTTCCTTGTTCCTTGCCGTGGGAGCCTGCCTTGCTATCCGGCGATGGGTACGCGCCCGCCCTTCCATGGGGCAAGCAAATTCCCGAGGCCCTGTTTCGGGCCCGGGAAAGAACAACAAGATGCCGAATCCGCTCCAAGGCCCAACGTCGGGTCAAATATCGTCTGAGCGCACTCATACCGAAATTCTGCCCGACGCCAGCCGAGGCTTGGTTTCGAGCCCGGTGACCCCCGCCCCGCCCCCTGCGGCGGAGCCAACCTACGGGCGTCGCATCCGGCTAGAAGCCGGGACCGTTGATCCGGAAGGAATCCCGCGGTGGCATCGTTCCGAGTGTCTTAGGCCAGGACCCAGTCGATGGGTGGAGCCGTGCAAAGATTGTGCCGGCCAACCGGGGTATGTGCAGCCTTCCGGAGCCGCCCACGTGACTCTGAGCGGCGAGAGGTGGCATCAGGAAGGGTGCGGTCACATCCGGGGCCGCAGACAGATCCGCTACGAACGGTGTCTGTGTCCCCCGGGTGAGGCTAGCACAACGGTGGCCCGGCGAAATCCCCGACAAGGTGTTCGACAGCGGCGAGTCGACGACGCCAATCGGGACACCAACCATGCCATCGCCCACCTCTTCTGTGGAGAATTTGGGCTCCTCATCCTGGCCTTGTTAATACCTCTTCGGAGTCCTGCATGCTTGTTTGCGGGCCGGGAGCGAAGAGATTTCACGGGAGCAAAAAGACGAGAGACGCGTGGGAGGCTCCACTACCAGGCGGGTACGCTTCTCGCCTTATTTGGAAAGCTTGGAAGAAGACATCCACCGGAAGGAGGCGCCGACCATTCAGCAGGGGGTGAAGAACAAACCCTGTCGCAGCCCGAAGGCAGTCAGAGATCTCCTTGGGCACAAGACCCCACAGCTTGGCTTACCCCTGAAGAATCGGCAAGACTATCAACAGGAAGCTGTCAATGTTGCTTTGGACAGGCTAGCCCTGACGACTCGTCGGACGTATGCCGCACAGTTGAAATGGTGGCGCCTGTTTTGTGCTCGGCGCCAGGTGCACTGGCTCCTGACTGGGGTGCCGGCGGACGAAGATCTCATCATTGACTATTTGCTTCACTGTGCCGTCAACGAACAGCGTGCCCCGGGAACTTTGAAACTGCGTCTCGCTGCCGTCCGAAGCATCCATGTGACGCTGGGGCTGCCAGATCCCTTAGAAGGAAGAAACCGGGTAGCGATGGCCCTGGCAGGCCTGAGAAGGCGGTACAAGACGCCGCTCCCGTGACCCCCCGTATGTTGCGTTGGCTGGAGGAACATCTCCGAGGCCCTGTTTCGGGCCCGGAGGGTCCTATCCTCTGGGCTGCCTTGTGCCTGGGGTTCTTCTTTTTGCTCAGGGCCTCAGAATTTTTACCCTTGGGGTACATCCCATTTTCCCGTCAATTAAAGGGAAGACAAGTACTCCTTTTCAGCAAAGGGGAGCAATGCGACCTCCGCAACCTGGGGGAAGCCGATGAGATCCGGCTCCAGCTGAACGGGAGCAAAACCAACTATAATCTGGAGACTCACCGCAACCACTACAAGACCGGTGAGGCCGTCTGCCCTGTCTTGGCGGTCAGACAGTTCTTCCAGAAATACCCGAATCGATACCTGGGCGGCGTGGAGGCAGATGAGCCACTATTCCGAACACCGGAAGGCTGGGATATCCCACGCGAGGCCGTGCAGATGCTCCTGCGCCGTGCGGCCGAAGCCTGTGGTGTGGCGGGCCATCTAGGCTCGCACTCTCTTCGTTTTGGGGGCGCTTCGGCTCTCTGGGCCGCCTATAAAGACGCCTCAGTGGTCAGGCGCTACGGGCGTTGGGCTTCCGACGCCTTCCACACTTATTTGTGGGAGGACCGCGAATACTCGCGCGGTATGTCGGAGTCCATGATCAAGACAAGCCTTACGCCTACGTAGCTATGCCCGTCCACGCAGTTTTGATACATCTGCCAACCGAGGCGTGTTTCACGCCCGGTAGAAAGGCAACCACTCCAGTTTTGATACATCTGCCAACTGAGGCGTGTTTCACGCCCGGTAGAAAGGCAACCACTCCAGCTATACAGTGGCAAGGGAGGGGTGCGAGCCCGGAGGGCAAAGACCTTTTCAGTGCCTACGCGCGCAAAAGTGCGTTCTTGCTGTTGAGTGGGGGGTTGTAGGTTAGGTCCAAACTGTTGGAGCTTAGTGTAGCGTGCTCTAGGTTTTGACTGATCTGTACAACCCGGTGTAGCTTGGGCTCAAGGTAGCCCACCCGCCCTCCCCCTTGAGCCCGGAGGGCAAAGACCTTTTCAGTGCCTACGCGCGCAAAAGTGCGTTCTTGCTGTCGTGTGGGGGGTTGTAGGTTAGGTCCAAACAGCGCGTTTTTGTTTTTTAATTTATCTGTTGGGTTCCAATTCAGTTCCAACATTTCCATGTATTCTTAGGGCGATGGGATTACCTCGGGACACCTCAAGGGAATAGGGTTGCGTTACTGCCTGTGACCTCCCAGTCTTCCTTGCTGTTTCACGTGCTTTGCCTTCTCCAGGCGACCTTGGCCACCCAATTTTGGGTCATGGGACTTGCACAGATTTCATGTGAATGTTTAGCCAGATCTCGTTTCCTACATGTTTTCACAGTTTTTTCAGGGATAGAAAGCTTTGTGGATGAGCGGTGGCTGTGAGCCTTTCAAGAGCGTCTTGCTTATTTCGCTTTGGGACTTCTAAGCTTGAGAAACAGCTGGAGAGCGGGTTCCGGGGTTCACAGAGAAAGACTTGAGCTATTCAAGGATCACCCCAGATGTGCAAAAAAATGCCGACCGGAAACGTCCGAGAATGATCGTAACTTGGTCAGCTGAAGAGAGCCACCAAACTGTTGAACTGTTGGGGATGGGACACCCAACAATCAACCTGCAATTTGGGGATGGTATATTTATACCACCAAAACGGTGATTTGGGTCATGGTTTATTATTGGGTTTAGCGGTTTACCACAGTTCAAGAGTATGATGATCCTCCAAGTAGCTACATTTCAGCATAGCCAATACCTCATTGATCCCGAAGAAAGGTGACTCTGTCCTTTTGCTGCCATGACATCTCTTAGTTGGTGACCACAAGCTGTACAGGTTGATGGTTGGTGGTTTCCCATGTTTGTTATTTCAAACATTCCAGTTGAGCGTCATGCTTGGTTGGGATATGTTGGGATTTGCATATCAAGCCTCAATAGATTTCAAAATACTGCCCGAAAACTCACATTGAACATTCTGCCCAAATGGAAAACGGGAAGGCCCATGTGATGATTCTTGAGCCTGCAGGGCTTCCAGTACTCGTACCAAAGTACCCCCATAGAATATAGGCACATCACACATATATATATACAGATATATATATATATATACATATATATACATATATATATATATACATAAATACATATATATATATACATACGTATGTGTATACACATGTATGTACTTTCTTTTCTCCTCCCCTTTCTTATCATATTATATATATATATCTCTCTCTCTCTTTCTCTTGCCCTATAAGTCTATATGTGTATATGTGTACACGTATACTTCTTATTATATCTGCGTTCCAACCGCCCCACTCCCCCCGGCCATGGTCATGGTTCAGTAATAGTCCTACTTTCCCACCCCCTCCCAGGGGCCAGGGGGTGGGAACATGGAACACGAGACATATATATCTATATATATCATATCTCTCGAATCTCTCCTTCGATTCCTGAATTCTCCCAGGACAGCTACGGCAGCTGGACCGCCATGACAGAAGCTTCCTGGAACGTGGCTGGGACCGGAACGAGGACCTGCTTGGTGAACAAAATACACTGGCGGATTGGTTCATTTGTTGGCACTTCTACTACCTGACTTTTTGGGGTAAAAAAATGACCCATAGGAGGGAAACCTATGAACCAGCTAGTACACTGAGATGGGATATATGTATATATATATACATATGTATATGTATATATATATGTATATGTATATGTATATATATATATGTATATGTATATATATATATGTATATATATATATGTATATATATATATATATATGTATATGTATATATATATAGGGGTAGGGGTATTTTTAATGGCTCAAATGGAGACTGTGGACTAATCCACAATTTCTGGGAATCCGGTCCTTAACCGATAGGCCCACAGGATTTGGTGATGCCAGGGAGGCAAGCCCCAAAGTTGAGATGTGAACTTAGCAAAAGGATCAAGAAAAAGCAGTGTATCTCAGTCTATTTCTGCAATTTCACTTCCAAGTGCTTGGCAAACCATGTAAAACCATGTAAAACCATGTAAAACCACCTACCAGATGCGAAGTGAAACAGGATCATCCCAGCACAACCACCAAAGAAAGAACGATCTCATCGGCAAACTCTGGAGGAAGGTCTTTTTATAAATGAATCAATCAATTGGAGTTTTTTTTTTCAGTTCATCCTTGTAGGGGAAGTTCTATGAAGAAAATGCTGGGTGATCAATCGGCATCGGCTATTTGATGTGGGCGTGGTTGATCCACTGTGTGGAATGGATCAATCACCAGGTGAAGCAGGAGAAAATCATTCCAAATCAATTGTTTCCCACTTCTATCAACTGATCGAAGGAAGTTTAGAAGTCAAACTTCCGACAATATGGACAGATGAAAAGCAGAGATGGGAAGAGTCAGAGAAGAGAAGAGAGGAGAAGAAGAAGAAAGAAATCAAAGAAGAGAAGGTGCGCGAAAAGGTAAGAAAGTCGCGAATCACTACGTTTTTCCAATGATTTGTGGCTCCGGAGGGTCGATAAGTAGGCTCGCTAAAGCGGCGGGTGCGGGGCCATCTGGCCAGATGAGAGATGAAAAATTGCACGCCGTTGTGGCGCGAAGCACATTTCGAAGTCAAAATGTACAAAACACCTCAGCTTCGGAGACCACTTTTGGAAGTTGACATGTCGAAAAAGTGCACGCCGTTGCGGCGCGAAGCACATTTCGAAGTCAACAGTGTAAAAAACTAACAGGTTCGGAGCACTTTTTGTTTTTCAGATGTCGTTTTGCGTGGCAGGCGCAAGGGATTCTGCACGTTGCCAAAAGTGAGCAAAACGAGAGGTTTTGTAGCATTTTCAGCTACAACCACCACTACACTACATTACAACTACAACTACAACTGGACCTACACTACATTCCACTACACTACATTCCACTACACTACACTACACTGCATTACACCACACTGCATTACACTACACTGCATTACTCTACACTGCATTACACTACACTGCATTACACTACACTGCATTACACTACACACTACACAACACTACGCACTACACTACACTGTACTGCACTACACTACACTAACTATAACTACAACTACAACTACTCTACATAAGACTACACTACACTACACTATTTACATTACACTACGCTACACTGCGCTACACCCCACTCCACTACACTACACCTCACTACACTGCACTCCACTACACTACAGTACACTACACCCAATTACACTACACAACACTACACTACACCACACCACCACGCTAGGCGACACTACACTACACTAACTACAACTACAGCTACATACAACTACAACTACAAGTACAACTGCAATACATTACACTACGGTACACTACACTACAACTACACTACACTAATTACGTTACACGCACTACACTACACTATATACACCACACTACACCACACCACACCACACCACACTACACTACACTACACCACATTACACTACACTACACTACACCACACCACACCACACCACACTACACTACACTACACTACACTCAATCACACTACACTACACTACACTACACTACCCTACATTACATTGCATTACATTGCATTGCAGTACACTACACTCATTACACCACCACAAATGCAACTGCAACTACACTACACTAATTATACTACACCACAACTACAACTCCACTACATTACAACTACACCTACAGCTGCACTACACCACGCTACATCCAGCAGTTGTGGGTGAGGTGGTGGTGACCGACCAGGTGACCACTGCTACCATTGCAACCACTCCAAAAAACACAACTCCAACCACCTTTCGGTCCATCAGTGGATTCACTCTGCCATCCATGATTCACAACAACCAACCTCTCCTATAGGTTTCCTATTTTTAAAACTTCCGCCACCGCCTTGTGCGGTACTACTGGTATCCCTTTTACATTGAATTTTCTCAGACATGCTCCATTTTGGTGCCTCATTTTCCTCAATTATATCGTGTGTTTGCCACTTCCCAATTCCCAAAATTTTAGGATCACAACCAAAAACCCTTGTATATTCATTTATACAATATGAACTAAGTTTTGCATTCAGATCAAGAAACAATTCACATCCAAATTTTCCCATTCTGTTTTGATGGTTGTTGATTGCGTGTCTTCCAAATAGCCCCATTATGTATGTCCCTTCCCCCATATTTTTTTTTCACCTGAACACCATGTTTTTTTCGTACTGGATATGTCAATTTTCCCCTTAGTCCAATACATCCCCAAAAAATATCCCCATGGTATACCATACTGACGGAAGAAGAAATCTGCACGACTTTGGATGGTTGAAACTCCAAAAAAACATGGGATAAACATGGATAAACCACGTATCAACTGATGTAGGACTTCTTCTTCTTTTTCTTTTTTTTCTTCTTCTTCTTCTTCTTCTTCCATCCACAATATCACAATGTTGAAATCCCTTCCTAGTCCAATATATACTCACTATATTCTCACTATCTCGCCATAGATATCACCATAGATATCGAGGCCCCGAAGCGCTTTTCCCCTGGCGTCGCCGGCATGAGCGCAGCTGCCTGTCATGAAATTTCTGTTTTTTTTTTTCTGGGGAAACCAAAAAAATCACGGGATTTTCTATGGGATTCAATTTTTTACGGTTGATTTCTATGGGAATTCTATGGGATTTTATGGGATGCCTTTCGGCTGACAGTTTGCTAACATCCCCATTCGATGATTTCCACGTCATTTGTTTACCAGACTATGTTTACTTGAGGGTATATCACCAAACAAACATGGGCGATAAATCAAACCATTCCATGGGAAGATCATAGGATCCAAACAACTGGTTTTCATGGGGATCACCACGTAAGATCCGTAAAAATATCCCAATGATTTTTAGGTATATATCATTGGATTCATATACCAAAATGGATCCCAACCAAATGGATATACCATTATGATCCATGATTAAAAAAATAATCCAATTTGGTTATACATCCGTTATGATCCATAACCAAGTTGGATTGGAAGCGATCATATTAGTAATCCCATTCCGTCCCATCCCCCTAATATTAAGCACCCCGTAGAAACTATGGTTTAGTAGGGAAATTCCACATCATTGGGACAAAATTTAGGGGGTGTTTTTCATATTGGCAGGAGGGATGAAACACATATTTTAAAATCTGCAATTGGGGGTACAAATGGTTGTGTTTACTAGCCAGTTACATAGTGGTATGGTTATAATATGTATAATAGTTATTATAACCATAGTTGTTAACCATACTCCAGGTACATAATAGTCATTATAACCATAGTTGTAACCCCCACAAGTTGGGATATAACCCCTTTGACTATAGCCATAACAACTGATTAACTGGATCGCCACCCCAAGTACTGGCCATGGATCGGGGAGCTAAGGAGTGAGGTGAGCCCATTCAACTGCAAGAATCAAATGGTAGTGTAACCAATGAAAATCCATTCTGGCTGCACCTGAGAGAATCGCAGCATCCCAGGCCATTTAACCAGGACCCCTAGTTTTCCCAGGCACTTCGTCGCAGCAGTTTCCTCTTCGTTTCCGGGAGCACCGTGAATCACGAGAGCATCAAATACCATGCAGAGAGGCCGGGCCGCTTACCATCCGCGGTGGGAGGCGATGGGGTGGTTCTGAAACATCCCTGGACTCACATATGATGGGGTTCAAACTGGTCATCCAGTAGTTGAAAAACATTTGGCCAAATCTATATGGTTTCTTCAAAACCTTCATTGTTTGTTGTTGGCCTTTTCACAATTTTTTGGTTCAGAGCATGCGTAGTTCACCTAGTTTTAAAGGTCCAGAATTGGTTGGACATTTCAAGGATTCGGGTGTAGAAACCGTTTCCTGTAAATCCTCCCTTAAACCAATCCATTGATCAATAGGACATGATTTAGCCAATAATATTAATGGCTTAGTACCCACTTCGCTTGAGACATCAAGTACCACTCCCTGATGGGAAATCCCGAAAAAAAACATGTCTAGATGATGTTCTGATTGAAGTCAGGATGACTGTGCTACCATGATATTCTACACTAATACAATAGAATGGCCCTCCAGTTGTTCGTTGGTTTATAGTCCCACCCATCTCTCTCTCTCCCTCTCTCTCTCTCTCTATATCTATATGGATCTATATATCTATACATGTATAGACTTTCTGGTAGAAGTTTAGGCTGAACATCGTACCTGACTCTCTGCGATATTTATCTCAAAGTCCAATTTCTTTTAGGGTGTAGATGCCCCCACCCATTTGTCCGAAGTGTCGCCATTCCGCAGCGCTTGAGGGGGATCTTTGGTGTGCAGGCTGCACAGGCTGGGAGGCAGCCGGTCGTGAGCTTTGCGCTCATTGGGATATCCCTGGTGCTAAGGTTTTAGCAAACGATCTGATCTTGAACATTGGAAGGCAGATTAGAGCCTTGAGATCCCTAAGCGCAGGTGTTGCTGTGGGTGGGGGCTTGTCTGGTTCAGCTGGTGCGAGCCGAGCTAGATCAGTAAGGCCAGGTTCAGAAAGAGCCGAAACTCCTGGTAGGGCAGCTGACAGAAGTCGTGAATCCCTGCCTCGTCGGCGGCCTGAACTTCCTACACCTCCTCCTCCTCCAGCACCTAATAAGGAGGAACCAACAGAAGAGGCTTCAGGTGATTGGGAAGGAGAAGAAGAAGAGGAGCTCGAGGACGAGGAGGTGGTGGTGAGAGAGGAGCTGAACCTAAGCGCAAGGCTGTTGACAGGTCCCGCTCAGGTCACCGAAGGCGTGAGACTTCTCCAAGACGGGATCGGGAGAGTGCTGGCCATAGCCGTGCACTTCGTAGCCGCTCTCGTGGACGAAGGCACAGTGATCGAGATCGAGATCGACGAGGAAAGAAAAAGAATCGAAGAGCGGGGCGAAATCACCAACGCCTGCACCGCTTGGCAGAGGACCCCAATACCCGAGTTCATCGAAAAGCTGGACCTGGTTTGTTGGAACTTTCATCAGTGGCACAAGGACGACAGGCCTTGGACAGGTCTGGATAAGCAATGGCGTCTTTCGGCGGCGAAGGAGCCGAGATCTCGCCAGAAGATCGGGTGCAATGGGCCGAATTGTCACCAGTCAGAGGACAAGTTTTGGAAGTTTTCCTGCCCGAGACAGACACTCACGATCCTCCGTTTGCTTGGGCAGCATTTTTGATTGGAAGGGTTTCTACAAGGTTGGATGGTTCCATTGTTCTGAAGTGCCGCCATTTGGGCGCCGAAGACACTCCCTATTCTCAGGTTTTGTACGGGCAGTTCAACGATGCTCGACGCCGCATTCATTTATGTTTGACAAGACCATGTCTCATGACCGAAGAGAAGGACGATGCAGACACTCCTTTCATGCATGTGACCCGGATCCGGCTATGGAGCTGGGACAGGTTCATCTCAGCTCAGGAGTATGTAGCCGCAAGCAGTTTAGACGCTGGTGTAGATTGGTTGAAAGCGACAGAAGCAGTGATGCCAAGCACACCTGGGCGCCGCTCCAGAAATCCTCCCAAAGAGAAAGAGAAACCTATTGGGAGAAAGAAAGAGACCAAGACACCAAAGGCGAAAGAGGGGCCCAGAAAGCGAGAGCATGCCGCAGGAGAAGAGGAGCCGGAGACATCTGGCAAAGGAGGAAAGCCGAAGAAGAAGGAAGAGGAGAAGGCAACCAGAGAAGAGCTACGGAGCCGCCTCAAAGCAGTTCGAGAGCGATTGCAAGATCCTGGCACCATACGGGTCGAAGATGGCTACAGCCCGGGGACCCCTGTCGCAGAGGATGTCAGCAGTGGGTCAGAGGACGAAGGTTCGTCTTGTGCTCCGGAGAAACGCCTGACAACAGGGGCAAATCTGGGAGAGGGTGCAGGCGCGCTGGCCAAGGCCGTAGCCCGCAAAGGTCACCCTCGTTCCAGCCATCGACATCATCGAGACGCTCTGCCACTGGAGGATACAAAAGATTCCACTTTGAAAGGCTTGAGCGGCCAATTGTTGAAACAGGCTTTAGCAGCGAAGACTCAGAGGGCAGCCGAGAAGAAGAGGAAAAAGAAGAAGCAGTCGAAGAAGACGGATATGGAGAACCTCACTGCAGCATTAGCCAAAGTTTTTGGAAGGACACCGGAGGGGGAGCAGAAAGAGAAGAAAGGGAAGAAGAAGACCTCCAAGAAGAAGAGGAAATTACAGGATGGAACGATCGTGAGCTGCAGTTCCAACTCCAGCTCCTACAGCGACGAGGTCTCCGAGGCAGTGTCAAGCGACGAAGACTTAGAGGCCCCATTGCGAAAGAAGTCAAGGGACCATCCAGGTCTGTCCTCAGGATGCTTGTCAGCCACATACAGGAACAGTTGGATCAGAGCGCTTTGACCGAGCTGGGGCACCCGAGCTCAACCATGACCAGCGGCGTGAAGGTGATGACATATTTCAACTTGCACGTGAAGAGCAGCTATCCGCATCAATGGCGGGAGATGCGGGAACTTCATCATCTGGCCGCCTGTTTGGACTTGGTCAGAAAAGGAGACTTAGCCAGGGCAGCCGACGGATTGGCGGCGAGATTCATCGCCATACATCAAAGCTTGGTAGATGGCTCGTGGCAGATGGCCAAGCACCTCGAGCTCTTTCCTTTGGAGGAGGCCAGTGCAGCAGGGGCAGCGGCCTTGCTGGCCACCCGAAAACACGCTCGGCTCATCTCCAAGGTTCAAGGCCCTCCTCCCAGCACTTGGACTCCGAGTGCCGGCCGTGGCCGAGGGGGGAAGGGGCGCAGCGATTGGAACTCTGGAGATGGGCGGGGCGATTACAAAGGAGAGAACAAAGGAAAAGGCAAAGGAAAGAAAGGAGGCCGAGGAAAATGGGATCAGAGGCCAGGATGGGAGGCGTCCAGGACAAAAGAATGGGAGAAGAACAAGGAAAAGACCGAAGAGAAACCCAAGGGCTAGTTTTGCCTTCGCTGGTACAAGCCGTGGCTGAAGGTTCTTCGCTGGTCAAGGCCGTTGCGGAGATTTCTCCTTTGGAGCCCTCTGCCATCGCTGCCAACGCGGGGTACCCGCGGTTGGACAGTGTTGTGTCAGAAACGAGCCCGACTCCTTTGGAGCCCTCTGCCATCGCTGCCAACGCGGGGTACCCGCGGTTGGACAGTGTTGTGTCAGAGACGAATCCGACTAATCAGCCCTTGAGCTTTTTGTCAGTCCTGCAGCTGTGTGACACATTGGAACGCACAGGATGTGTCCTGGCCTGGACTTTACTGCATGTTGGGCATCGCGAGGACGGTGTGAAGAATTCATCACTCTGGTCGGTGCTATTTAACTCCAGCGAGAGGTTTCGAGCCGGGCGGAAACGTTTGGCTCTGCCTATTCGAGAGGGTGAGTTAGCCGGGCTTAGAGACAAACTGCTCAAGATTTCTCTGCTCGAAGCAGCGGGAGAAGATTTTGCAAAGAAACATGCTGGGGATTGCTGGACATACCTTGCGTGCTACGCTTGCAATACTCTGGTCGGGAGGCAGAAACTACTGGAACAAGGTAGATGGATCAAAGCAGAAGCGAGCGCCTTTCAGACCGTGCACCAGATGACCAACCGGTTGTTGGGGCATGGGACGCAAGAGCCAGTGACCCTAGATGCAATCGAAAAAGATGTCAAGCTTGCCAGGGCCAACTACAAGGGAGAAGAGATTGGTGTTTGTCATAAACTTACTTTAAGACAAATTGAACCTGCACTTCCCCCCAAAGAACATGGTGGATGCATTGACTTGTTGAAGTGGGTGTCGCCTGTGACAGGTAGGTTTTTGAGGGAGCCTGAACTTTGTATTTTGCCGGATAAGGGTCAGAAATTGCCTAAGTTGCAAGGGCGTATACATGTGGAAACAGGGGAGCTTGATGGAATCACACGTGTTCTGGTGAATCGTGGCGTTTGTGACTGGACACCGTTGGATCAAGTGCTGCATTTTCGGGGCGAACCAGTGTTGAATGGTCTTTTTGGAGTCCCAAAAACATCAACCATTGACAGTGGTGAACCCATCCTTCGTGTTATCATGAATTTGGTCCCTTCTAACTCTGTTGTGTTGCAATTGGAAGGAGCAGTGAAAAAATTACCCAGCATTACTAGCTGGATGTCTGTAGTGACTGAAGGAAAAGAAGAAGTACGCATTTGGCAATCGGACATGTGTAATGCGTTCTATCTTTTTGCTTTGCCTCACCAATGGCGTCGTTGTTTATCTTTCAACATTTTGAGATGGGGAAACGAGATCGGAAAAGATCCTGCGGTACGATATGCCTTGAGTTGTTGTGTGTTACCGATGGGATGGCTGTCATCGGTCGCAATCATGCAAGAAGTCAGCGAACAAATCTTGTTGCAAGGGTCTTTGAGTGAAGCTGAACAGGTGGTACGGAATCGAGCTGTCCCTCTCTGGATGGTAGGACTGTTAAAAGAGGCAAAGCGGCAGAATCGATCGTGGTGGCATGTCTATTTAGACAACTACGCTGGAGGTCAGATTGTGGACAAAGGAGAAGAGACGATTGGGGGAGAACGTTTGCATGAACTAGCAGAGACCGCCTGGCAGAAAGCCCAAGTGGTATCTTCAGAGAAAAAGCGGAAAAGGGGTGTTGTTGAAGCGGAAGGACTTGGAGCACTTGTCAGCGGAGCAACAAATACTATAGGTGGATCTCCCAACCGCCTGCTGCGGGTGATACAAGCTACTTTGTGGGTTTTGAGCCGCACCCACTTGTCTAAGAAACATGTTCAAGTGATAGCAGGGCGTTGGATCCACATACTACAGTTTAGACGACCTGGTGTGTCCTTCCTTGAAGCGACTTGGGAATATGTGGGGAGCAAAAAGTTTGATTTGGGTCTGGTGCTCAGAGTGCGTCGTGAATTGTGGGCCATAGTATGTGCAACACCTTTCTTTCAAACGAATTTGGGAGCCACTGTCAGCCAAGTCACTACAGCCTCAGATGCTTCAAACACGGGAGGAGCAGTTGGGATTGCGTATGAGTTGTCATCAGAGGGACAAGACTTTGTAGCCGCCAGTAAATCAGGAATGGATGCTCAAGCAACTGCTCCCATTTTGGTGGTGTCACTGTTTCATGGTATCGGCGGAAGTTTCCGCTGTTACGATATATTGGGAATAAGACCTATGGGAATGGTAAGCTTCGAAATTCATGGGCCAGCCAACAGGGTCAGCAGCAGGCGCTGGCCACAAGCATTACAATATGGAGACGTCAGAACGCTGGATGAGGTAATGGTGCGCTCATGGCTCTTGAAATTTGTAGGAATCACTGAAATACATCTCTGGTCAGGTTTTCCATGCACTGACTTGACATCAGTAAAAGCGTTTCGGCAGGGCTTGCAGGGAGAACAATCCAAGCTTTTCTTTGAGATGCCTCGTATTCTAAAACTCTTGAGGAAAGTAGCTGGAGGTAACATTGTAGTCAAATTTGTGGGTGAGAACGTAGCGTCCATGGGCAAGCCCGAATGTGAACAAATTTCTGAAGAACTGGAGACCTGGCCCTACCACCTCAATTGCGCTGATGCAGTTCCAATGAATCGCCCACGTCTTTGCTGGTGCAGCGAAGAGTTGGAAGGTGCATTAGAGGGGTTAGAATTTGAGCCTGACACTTTTTGGACTAAGCTCATAGCAAAAGCACCGTACCCGGAGATGGAACAGTGGATTGAGCCAGGAGTGTACTGGCCTGGAGGTACACAGGGAGAAGTTCTCCCCACTGCCATGCGTGCAATCAGTAGGTCAAAGCCGCCACCACAACCAGCCGGTCTAAAACGATGTGACCCCGACACAGTGGCGAGATGGCAAAGCGAGCATTTCAAGTTTCCTCCATATCATTATCAAGATCGCTTTGTGTTTTGGAAGGGTGAAAAGTGGAGACTGGCAGATAGCGATGAGCGTGAACTTCTCTTGGGATATGGATACAAGCATACTTCTCTCTGTTTTAGCGCTAGCAAGCAGAAACAGTCTTTAGCAGCATATGAAAATGCCAGGTTGTCACTCTTGGGGGACTGTTTCAGTGTGTACCCATTTGTAATCGCAGCCGCTGCTTTGTGCAAGAAGTTCATCCCAAGCTTGAGTTATCAACATTTGTGCTTGCGTATGGGGATGGCACCGGGTTACAGAGCCTCCTGGAGATTGAAAGCACCACTTGGGCGTAGCTTGCAATATGGGTTTTCACATTTCAATTTGTCTTCCCCTCTGCATGAGTTGAATCGGGTGCTTTTGACACGGGTCAACCATACAGGCTCGGACATCAGAATAACCACAGGGGATATCATTAACCCTAAAGCGTTCCCAAGACAGAGTGTGGAGGCATCATGGTGGCAGTGGCAACATTGTTTCAAACTGAAATGGAAGCACACAGAACACATAAATGCGTTGGAGTTGCGATCTATTCAGCAAGCTGTCCTCTTTTCGATTTCTAATTTAAAGCTGTGCAATGTAAGACTTTTTCATATAACTGACTCATATGTTTGCATGTCGGTGGTGGCAAAGGGACGTTCCGGCAGCCGTTTTCTCAACAGGTTAGTGAAGTCCTTGAACGCAGTCCTATTGATACATGGCGTGACGCTGGTACTGGGACATGTAGAATCGTCCAGTAACCCGACGGATCATGCCAGTCGGGAGACCTAAACTGCTAGCTAAACGAACCCAAGCAGAAAGGAGAAAGCAAAGAAAGAATATCCTCCTCGTCGATGCAGCAATCTCTGAACGGACGCAAGAGCGTTACTACATAGCTGTCAGGCGTTTGCTACCTGTACTCGAAAAGGTTAGATGCAATCAACAACTGGATGACATAGTTGCAGACTGGGTTGAGGCCCAGTGGGTTGCAGGTGAAACTTTGCATGTAGTATCTGACGCGTTGTGCGGACTACATCATTTTGAACCCTACACCAAAAAGTTGGCGCCCTCTGCTTGGAAGCTTTTTCGAACGTGGAGAAAATTAGAAGCTCCAAATCGAGCTCCACCACTGACAAAATACATCATTTATTCCATTGCTCATTACGCGTTGATGCATAATGATTTGATTTTTGGAGGCTTGTTATTGCTTGGCTTCTTTGGTTTGCTCCGCACAGGGGAGTTGTTGCTGGTCAAGCCGTGCAACATCCTACTCTCCAGGTCCCGGGCTATCATTACCTTAGAGACCACCAAAACAGGCAAACGGGATGCAGCCACTGAATCAATCACTCTGGAAGACATCTTTACTGTCGACGCCCTTGAACAGGTGTTACTGCTGCGGAACTCCCAAGGTTTATCAAAGGTCCCAATTTGGACCAACACTGCGCAGAACTTCAGAAACAAGTTCTCTTTTTACCCGAAAGTCTTTGATCTTCAAGCTCACTGTTTCAGACCGTATTAATTAAGACGCGGTGGAGCAACTCATGTTTTTCAAATTTCTGGCTCTATGGAGCTCACCCTCCTCAAAGGAAGGTGGGGATCATCACGTGTGGCCCGAATTTATTTACAAGATGGCCTGAGTTTCCTGCCGGGGTTGACTTTTTCAGCAAAGGAAAAAAATTTACTTGACAAGTGGAGACCCTTCAACGCAGAAAGCGTCGAGTAGGGGGTCATGGAGATGCTGTTTTCCAATGCGTTTTTCAGATGTTTTTCATTTTCTTGGGGTCTGCCATGACCCATCTTCATATGATACCGGAAAACTTTCCTGCCATGGAAAGGCCAAATTTGTCTTTCGAACCGTTGTGATGTGATTTGAGTTATGTGAACTTTTCCTGCCATGGAAAAGATATCAGGATCATTTTTGAATGCAGAATTTCAGAGGAAACTGTGGCATTTTCACAGCTTGCAAAACCTCCCGCCTTTCGCTGGAGTCAAAAAGGTGCGCATGGATGCCTAGACTTTCTGGTAGAAGTTTAGGCTGAACATCGTACCTGACTCTCTGCGATATTTATCTCAAAGTCCAATTTCTTTTAGCCCGGCCTCACCCGCCTCTTGGGTGTGGACACGGAGATGCTGTTTTCCAATGCGTTTTTCAGATGTTTTTCATTTTCTTGGGGTCTGCCATGACCCATCTTCATATGATACCGGAAAACTTTCCTGCCATGGAAAGGCCAAATTTGTCTTTCGAACCGTTGTGATGTGATTTGAGTTATGTGAACTTTTCCTGCCATGGAAAAGATATCAGGATCATTTTTGAATGCAGAATTTCAGAAGAAGCTGTGGCATTTTCACAGCTTGCAAAACCTCCCGCCTTTCGCTGGAGTCAAAAAGGTGCGCATGGATGCCTATCTATATGTATATGCATACAAATAACCTATGTCCACCATAAATCCAATCGTTGGCTCATTTACAAACCAACAGACACCAATTCCCGTATCTAGGGGCCGGCTTATCCTTCCATCAACGCCGGCAACCACCGTTGGCGCCGCAGGGTCTTTGCACGGCCCAAGCGCGCTCGACTTCTGCTCTGCTTGCGTCAGTTGCGACGCTCAGACTTCGGAATGCTGCTGGCGCCGGAGCGATGCGGCCCCGGGGGGGTGTCAACTGTGGAGCTGCAAACATGGGACTTCACATCGTTTTTCAACCACAAAAACTTGGTGTTCAAGCATAAACAATGCTTATTCAATCATTCATTTATATAGCCATCAGAAACCATCAGAAAATATGGATTCAACATTTTTCTGGTTACTTTTACTTGAAGAAACCTCAGGAATTGCATGGACGATGTTGCTGATACAGGAAAATATCCGGAGATTTCGATAATATCGTGTCTCACTGTATTGATTCCAGCTTCTTATATAGCCCTGCAAGATTTCTGTATTGTTGGAACACGTCGAAGACTTCGCCCCATTATGAAATCCCAATTTCTTGATGGTTAGGTTCCATCACTGAGTCACCTTTTGGGGTGATTCATGAGTACAACCAGAAATTGCCATGGCCTTGGTGCCGATGGCCCCATCCGACTGGGCGGCCCCAGGAGCTCTGGCTTCGCATTGGCGACTTCATTGGTGGACTCCGGCTTCGACAGGCGCCTGAAAGCCATGGCATGGCCATGGCAGTGGCGTTCCCGGGTGAGATTCTGCATTGGAGGGAAGGTTTCCCACACTCCAATATGGGAATGGGTCAAAACCATGTAGCCCTGGTGAACATCAAAATAGGTGGCAAATGGATGTTCATCCCCTAATAAACTGTATCTATAGGTATTGATCCATAGCCATATAATGATTCTCTGCGGCTGTGACTATTCTGTGAGGATTTGGGATTATCTCTGAACAGTGTTTGAACATGAGGGTTTCCAATGGCTTTGCCATTTGATACATTATGCCAGTTGAGGGTTTCTTCATCGAAGAGGTAGCATTGAAATGCCAGGTTTTGGGATGTGTGCAATGTATCTTTGATGATGTAACGCAATGCACTGCAAGGCAACCGAACATAACATGTAGTGTTGTGTTACACTATCTTGAACATAATATACATCGTGCATGTATATATATACACATAGATGATCATTTTCCGTTATTCACCACATTCGAAAGCTTCCGCACAAAGCCGCGCTGAAGCTCCGCTCGGCAGGTCGACTCCAGTGCTTCCAGCGGCTGAGGCGGGTCGACTTCGAGAAGGTCGATTTTCCCGGACATCGCCGGATTTGGGCGGTTGAACCATGTTGAAGCATGTTGAACCACCATTTACCCATTAAAAAAGGTGGTTTAATGGTGGTTTAATGGTTGTTTAATGGTGGTTTAATCGTGGTTTAATGGGGTTCAACCAACAAAATGGTGGTTTTTATGGTATTTACCCTCTGGTAAACGTAAAAACATAACGAACTGGAAAAATCCACCATTTTACAGCTGGGTAAATCCACTATTTCTATGGACCATTTTCAATAGCTATGTTAAATTACCAGAGGGTAAAGGAGGGAACCTCACAATATTGACTTGGTTCAGTCTCCATGTCGTTATCTCTGGTCTTGATCCTAATTTTGATTTTTGGTTGTAATCTGTTTCTATTGGTTCCAAACACCGATTTCTGTTAGTTTGAGGAACACATCTCTCTTCCACTTTGTTGGTTGGAAACAACCCTTTCGGTTGGTTTTGAATCCCAATCTTTAGAGGTCAAACTTCATGGTTAATTGATTTTTCACAATCGGTTTGAGCCCCAGTTCATGTTAGTAAAGCAATAAACCATATTAAAAAAAAACACACGCATTGATGGTAAAAGGGGGGCATGGCTTTACTAACATTATGGTAGTTTTGAAGGGCACAGCCATGATAGTTTTCATGGCTTAAACTTCTCAACATGCCAGGCATCTGGGCAGACGGAGCGGCCTTGCCAGTTGCTGACTGGCTGGCGAATTTTATGTTGGGATTCTACCCCTGTGGGGATATGACATGAATCGATTCATGAAACATTGGAGGGTTGCAAGAATTGAGTGAGATAGTTGTGAGAGGATATGTGAGAAAATCCATAAAGGATGAGAAGATTCATTATATTTGGAGTTATGTGGATGTAAACCATCCAACATGCAATTACACTATCTTTGTCAGATCATGTATTTTGATCGCCATGAATGTTCCATTGCCATGTTCAATTTCTGCGAGTAGCCAACATACAGATGGGAGCCAACAAGTGCCATATCACTGGATGGTTTTGTTAGGTCTCCATGAACGGTCTCCATGTTTGTTGATGAAATCCCATCACCAAAGAAAATATAGCTATAGTATGCTATAGTGAATCATCAACAAAAGCAAATCAAGTGTTTTTTTCTTGTTTCAATCACCACTTTCTCTTGCTAAAAATTGGCCATGACCGTCAGTGACAAGCCAAGCGCCGGGGCGTCTGCGACTGTCGGGGTGTTCACCGTCTGCAAAAACCATGGCAACTCCATAAGTTGACATGTTTTATTACCCTCCAGTAAGCTAAGATAGCTATTGAAAATGGCCCCACTTATTGCCACTTATGGTGAATTTACCTATTAATATTGCTGATTTACCAGTTCGCGCGAAGTGTAAACGTTTACCAGAGGGTAAGTACCGTATATAACTATGGTTTTAGATCCACAGTACAGTAACTGGAAGTGCACCCTTTAAAAAGTAACGGCGAGTGGTGAGGAAATGGGGATTTACTCATGGGATCTTGGTGACTTGAACCAACCAACCATGCCTTGGTTTTTTGCAACCAATGGGAGTTTTGTTTCAATAAAACATTGGGGATTCAACCAACAAAAAAAAGGAGGTGAAGAAGAAATTGGAGCTTAATCCTAATTATCATTCACATAGGGAGTTTGACCAAGAAAAATGTGGCTTTTACTACATCTAAAGAGTGGTTCGATCCAAATATCTACATCGATTCAGAGGGGTTCTTTGTGGTTAGATACTGCTTGGTCCCTTCCAAAAGCGCTTTATCAAAAAAAAAAACTGTTGAAAGTGAAGAAGCAAAAGACATGGGATGTTCTGAGAACGATCCACACCTCTGGTCACGACATAGCTCCATTTTGTAGCACTGCAGAATCTCGAATTTTCCAAAAAAAAAACATCGAAGCTATTCATTATGACGTATTATGACCATATCCAATAGGAAAATCAATGTTCCAGACCCCATTAGGGTTCAGTGAAAAAAAAAATCAAGGTTGCTACGGCCACCATGGTGCAACACTCCCATCGCACCTTGTCGGATTCCCATCAGTTGGGCCACAAAAAAGCTCTGCTTTTCGGCGCGATGTCGCGCCGGAAATGACCGGAGAGAAATGATGTAGCCAGGACAGACAGTTGGGTTGGGGTTAGCAACCCCAAACAAAATAGATTCTGTGGTAAATTCCTAGTAAAATCATGTGGTAAACCCAATGATAAAGCTGCCATTTGGTGGTTTATAGAACCCATTTATGGTGATTTTGGGGATGGTTTAATGGGCTTATCATGGTTTATCCCATTAGTCTAGACTAGTAACTCCTCCTGATCGAAGATCCTGTCATGCTCGTGACAGTTGTGAAGCACCTGGGGAGTTTCATGCCCCATCATCAGGTTTCTCCAGGCTTTCTTGCTGCGGTTTCCAAGCATGAGAATGCGATGGTAAGCCAATCCATTGATCAAGTGTCCCTTCTTGGCATGTTTCATGGTTCAGCTACTTTTCATGGAATCATCGACGGAATGCCTTTCTAGGGAATGCACACGCATTTACTTTGAAGCACATCGAGACCCTTTCGATTCGATAATTGGAACCTTTTCATTCGTTGAAAATCCGGTTCGCAACCAACAAAATATTTCCTTTTTTTTTCAGAATTACAGGAGGTTTGCCGAACCATCAGATTCACAAGTCTAGTAAACATCACTTGTTTTTTGATTCAGCAACATATTCAACTGCTTCACCTCCCATTTTGCTTGTTCAAGCTCCAATTTCATGTTGGTAACACTCCAATTTCCTGTTCGCCAAAGTTAAATTCTGACCCATTCCCATTCGTTTGTCAAAGTTTGAAATCTGGAAATGAATCCTAAAATTCCGCGCGACATCGCAGACATTGCCAGATGGCAGCACGACGAGAGTGGAGGGCGTGGGGGAAGACGAAAGCTAGGAATACTGCGGATGGTTGCGAAATCCGAATCACCAGTTGATAGGGGATAAAAACAGCCCATGATTTATAGGGTTTCAACCATCCGTTTGGTGATTCGCAGGATTTCTTCCATCCCCATCCACTGTATGGATGAAATATGTTCCTCATCATTCTCCTCTTGGAATATAAAGAAATGAATCACTGGTTGGTGGTTTGGAACATGAATGGATTATGACTTTCCATATATTGGGTATTTCATAACCCCAACTGACGAACTCACATTTTTCAGAGGGGTAGGTTGAAACCACCAAGCAGATCATCTTCTGGGCCAATCCAAGCAGCTGGGATGATAGGTACAGCTTGGTATAGCTAGATATGGCATTCTCAAAAGCACAGGATGATATAAACAAAAAACGCAAAGAATGGGAGATGGGGTCGGCTAAGGCTACAAAGGACTGGGATTTAGCACCAAGATACTTTGGGACCCACCCTAACCCTTGGATTCGTCTGGAAACTCTGCCGGGCAGAGTTTCTCACCTGGATTCAGTGCTGACACAAAAGGTACAGTGCTGGAAGATGATTTTCCCATTTCGAGAAGGCATTGGGGATCAGTGATTCTAGAAATAGACCCAGAAACTCTATCCGGATCAAGAATGGGGTAGCTAAAGTCAGCCACGGCGTCTGGATCACCATTGATTGCCCACAATAGTTAGAGAAAGACCATCCATTGATTCAGTTTTCAAGCTCAAATCCAAATTTTTCATTATACAATCGCCATTTTTCATGGTTGAGTCTCCATTTTATTGCTTGAAACAAATGCACGGTACCATGGTACATCACAGTACCATGGTACCATGCCATTGCTACACCGCCACGTCCGGCTCCCCGTGCAGAGTAACGAATTTGGTGCCCCAGTGGCCCGCCCCTTACGACAAACCGTAAATCGGCGGTCAGGGGCTTTGCGCTTCGCAGCAAGAGATGAGTCGAAAAAGTTGGGTTGTAGAACACGGCAGATCTATGGGGAAGAAATGAAGCCCTATGACGAGAGGTTATTTACGTTAAGCTTAGTACCAGTCAAGCACACTTTATCCCCTTACGAGCTGTTCGAACCCTACATACATGTGTGTATATATATATATATGTATACATACCAGATATCCATACATACATACATACATACATACATACATACATACATATGTATGTATATGTACATCTGGGTGAATTATAGTAATTCACTAACAAGAAACAAGGCTGTTGTTCCCTGTTATTTACCAGACCGCACCTAAGGCAAAGAATCTTGGTAGAATTCCCCTTTTTCCACCCATGATTCCAGGCTTCGGTACATTTTTGGTCACTATCTCTGTAGGATTTCGCTAAATCTACCGAGGATGCGCCGGCCTTTGAATCCGCGCAAGCATCTCAACTTCAGTGGTGAGCCCAGAATCGCTGGATCACTCCGCTGACTCCACTGTCCTGGTTTTTGGCGGTGAGATCATGGTGAAGTGCTGAAGCTTATGGGGAAGACTGGGATTTCGCCAGTCACAATGTGCTCAGGTGTGTAATGAACGTATGAACGTAGAAGCATCCTAATTCACTTCGAATTTGATGCACACTGTTTAATAAGTGCTATTTCGAAGCCGATGTTTCGATGCAATTTCTTTGGGGTACAACCATTTTACAACATTTTACAACCCCATAGATGTCCTTTTCCCATTGGTTGGTTGATTAATAGAGGGGTTTGAAGAAACCCCTTTAACAACAGGTAAATTTTCTGAAAATGATGATAGATGGGATTAACCAGCTCCCGGCCCCAACCTATTTTTACCATTTTAGGACATTATTGTTACAATCAATGGATTGGTTTAAGGGAAAATCGAAACCGGAAACCATATAAGCCATCGATTTTCCCGTGAAATATGGGGCTTTCCTGTAATTTTTTCCCTTAGATCAATCCATTGATACAACCCTCGGTGAACAGCACAGAACTGCTTGGACTTTCCATACGAAAACCGAGGCCTGGGCCTGAGGGGTACGTGGGGGCGCCCAGAACGCGTTCGAACGGGCCGAGGAAGGGGCGGAGAAGATCAGCATTGCGGCAAGGCACAAGGAAATAGTACGAGTATAAACGAGCAATATATCTAATCTAATCCAATCCAATCCAATCTAATCTTAATCTTAATATCTTAATCTTAATCTAATCTTGTCTTATCCTATCCTATCTATCTGCCTGTCTGTCTATCTATCTTTCTTTCTTTTCTTTTCTTTTCTTATCTATCTATCTATGTACTGCAAAGTAATGTAAAGTAGGGCAAAACAATGCAAAGTAATGTAAGGCGATGCAATGTAATGTCATCTTATGTATACATACAAGAAGCCAAAGATGGTTTGGCTGCTTCGCAACATCACCATATGTCATGATTGGTTATGTGGTTGGCCTGAGACCATCACTGGATATCCATGGTATCGGATAGCTCTAACCGAAGCAGTCGATGGAACCAATGAGTGATGTTACATTGCGATTCGTAGCTTTTGTCCGATTCTACATTGAAATTCTTGTTTCAGACCAAGAACTTTTTGGATTCCCCCAAAACCTCCCGGTGAATCTTGCCCCCCAAATTGGATGCTCAACACTTGGTGGCTCATCCCACCTAGAAAGTGGGTTACAACCCCAGTTACAAATGGGATTTTTGTAGGGTTAATCCACATCAATCACTGGGGTTATAACCCATTATAACCCACTATAACCCACTTACTAAGTGGGATGAGCCACCAAGCAGAACCTTAAACACAGGGTACAAATCGATTGGGATCCACAGAGGTGCAAAG